GGGGGGGGGGGGTGTACTTTCACCACCACTGCACCATTTTCACTTTCAGAGGGGTGAGTTCCATATTAGCTTCAAAGGACTTTTTTTCTTGTTTCTTCATTAATCTTTTTCGGCTGTGAACTATTTGCAGAATTGACCTAGCCATATTTCCAGTAAATCCATCATTCCATCCATCCATCCATCCATCCATCCATTCTTCATACTGCTTTAACTGGAATGGGGTTGCGAGCCTGTCCAAAACAGCACAGGATGTGAGATCACAGCCTGTCACAGAGACGCACACCAGCATCCACAAAGGGCATGATAAAACATCTTACATCATGTTGCCCTTCACATGCACCTGCAGACTTCAGGACCATACCGACCAAGCTGACCACACCCTGTCCTAAATAAATATGAATTTATTTAATTGGAATGCAATGTTTTCCACAAGAAGGTTCCTCTTTAAAGAGACGCAGCATGGATCGCTGCTTCGACTGCTTGTGTGCGAGTATCGATAAGCTTCCCGTAGCTGCTGGCAGGCAGATCACAGCCAGCATCTGGTGGGGAGATGGAGGAGCTGGGCCATCTGTCTGGGGCTGCTGGGTCTTCAGAGAGCCCGTTTGGAGCCGAGAGAATGATCAGCGGGCATCACTGGGTTTGACGCTGCCCAGCCGTTCGCGATGAAGAGCCCTGCCTCTGAGGTGATCAAATACGGCTGTGAAGCTATAATTAAGGCCCATGCCTGAGTTTGATTAAAGCTCTCTCTAAAGGAGTTTGTCTGTATTGGGGGAAGAAAACACAATATTCATCATCTGAAAGGTGGGTAAGTCCAAGACGGCAGGACCCTTAGATGATGGGCGAGTCAGGTGCACCTAAGTGTCTTTGGCTGGCATCACTAAACCTGTCGCCCTGAGACACAGAAATGAAGCAATCACATGTGTCCAAGAGACACATAGGGGGCCCTGCTTCCTCTGCTGTGGGTATTATAAACAAACGCAGTGCTGTGCTAGCTGGGGGTGGTGGGTGGTGGGGGTGCGAAGGGGGGGCTGTGTGGCCCCCGCATTATGAATGCATGCAATTACTCTGCGCCTGCACCTCTATTTCCAGACGCCTTGCAAGCCTGCAGCCGGCCCCCGCTCCCAGCCGCAGCGCCGATTCCAATCACTGCTCAGTCATGCTCGAATGATTACAAATCATTTTATCATTTAATGTGCACCATTTAATTGCCAAAATATAGTGGCTGTTTGCTGCGCTTTTGCCTTATATCCTACACCAGGTTGCCATACGGCTAGAGACGCATTGTTCCCCCCCCCTGCCGGCGGTGGCCGATGACCTGCAGAGACCCCAGCAGAAAGCCTTATTGAGCCTCGCCGCTAATAGCTGTTTAATGTTATTCTGCAGCCCCTCAAAGAATCATGCTTGTTACTGCGTTTGAAGCCACCGGGAGGCGTGCTGATCAGCCAGCCCGGCGGGTCTCTGATCTGACACGCAGGACAATGGGCCAGCGCGGTCCCTCCGGATCACATTGTCCCGCTCCGGGCCGGGATGGGGGGCATCTACAGGATGGGCAGCGGTGGGCTGGGCTGGGGGGGGGGGGGGGGGGGCTCCCTTGAAGATTTCTGACACCTTGGAGCAGATGTTTTGGAGAGACGCGCTCAGGGTACCCAGCAGCTCGCCCTGCCAGCCCCGAAGCTTTCTCATTTTTTTTTTTTCTCGAAGCCAAGCTTTCCTTTCAGGCATGAGAAAAAAAAGCGGCTTTTCTGAGCTTTCATTTCAGCACCAGTAACTGACTGATGCATTGTAAGAAGCTGTACAAAAGAAGTGCACGTATAATGTACATTAGTATTAAAAGATGCTTTAGGAAGCCGGCCTCTGGATGCTTTCATCTGAATCGCGCTGAAGGGATGCTCTTTCATGACCGTTTGCTGAAGCCGCACCTGCTTCCCTGATTTTAATCTGAAATGCAGAATCGGCCTCCTCTAATGTCTTTTAGACAGATTATTGCATTGCTTAACATATCAATACTCATGTAGTTAGTAAGTATATGAATGAGCGCCACAAGTGCGCGTGTCATTTCCTCCGAGTGACGGAGCGTGTTCCCGCTGTGTCTCTCGTCATTCAGCATTCAGCTGCCTCTGTCAGCTCCGGGCCCGTGAAGCAGTCGCTGTTAACTGCAGACATGCCCTCTGTGCTCCTGTGACACAGGTAGTTAACCTCAGTCCGGCGGAGGGGTGGGGTGGGCTGGAGGGGGGCACATTGCAAAGGGGTTAATGCTTTGTTGTCAGCGGGATGACTGTAATTTAGGTGTCTATGAAGCGTCTAGTGATTCCTCTCGTTATTTCTGAAGATAATATCGCCTAATTTGCCAACACTTCTCTATCGTCTCCACCTCCGCACTTTCACTTTATTTAATTCATTCTTTCATAGGACTGCCCCCCCCCCCCCCCCAAAACGACGGCCAAGGTGCGGCCTGTGCCATGGGTGGAGAGCATCTCGGCTGCCTTTTCAGCTAATTAAAGACGCACATGAAAGTGCAAGATCCAAACGTGCTAATTACCGTTTCCTCACGCGCGGCGCTGTAGCGGCTCAGAGGCTGCCGGAAGCTGCAGATGGTGTCACCTTCGTCTTTGGCATACCGAGTTGATCGCTGCCCCTGTTTGGCCAGATCTCATTGTCTCTGTTGTCTTCAGTTCTGTGGCCAGTTACAGGTAACTTCTGGAGTCCTTCGAACAGCAGAAAGTGGAAGCTTGTGCCGGTTCTAGGTATTTCTGCATTTAAGTCATTTGCTGCAAGGCTGTACTCACCCTTCAACCTGATCTGTGCTCAGTCTGCCTCCTCGACATCTTTACCCAAACACTCGCACCCGACAGCGGTCTGTCCAAATGGTGTAATGGGGCTGGGGAGCTGAATGTGAAGCCTTACCAAGACTTCCAGGATGCCCAGAGTATTGCTGGGGACGCAGCGGTACAGAAAGGGCCGTCCCCTTTTGATCATTAGAAGTAGAATGTGATGGTTGGATCTTTGAGGAGTTGGGGTTAGGGTTAGGGTTAGGATTAGGGTTTCACATGCCTAAGCAGGGGAGCTCATTTCTGTAGTAGTATTCTGGGGCGGGGAAATCTGAGAGCTTCTCAGATGGGATGTGTGCCACAGGCCACATCAGGGGTAACAAAGTCAGAAAGCAGGCTTTTAGGATGCTCTCCTCACTCTATCAGCGCTCCCCAGTGATGACCCTGTCAGATCCCCCCTCCAAGAAATCGCATCTCCCCATGGGCAGGAAGTGTCACATCAAAGAGGCCACCCCAAGCGCCAGCACTGTATCTTAATCTGCCTCCATCAGCACGTGGCTTGTCTGTCCTGAGGCTGGCCATAATCTACACACCTGCATCTGCACTCCCTTGTGTTGGGTCTGCACCTTCCCCAAACCCTTTCACAGTGCACATCAGTTCACCATCACAGATATGCCTTTATCACATTATTTTAAAGGGTAGAACAAGCGCTGTCCCTGATATTTACCTTGAGCTTGAGCTTGCAGGACCAGCCAACCTGCTTGATGGGTGTCCTAAATATTTGGGAAGCAGAAGTGTCACGATGTGCTCAGCTGGGTAGATGACATCACGCAGCTTCATGAGGGCGACCCCCTCCTCTGCAGCTAATGAACATGGACACAGGACCTCTTGGCCTCTACTCCCCTGAAACCCGAAGCCTCCCACCGCTGGTGCTAAGTGGAGCGGTGGAGCGGAGGGCGGCCAGCTGAGCTAACAGGCTGCCTGGGTGAGATGCTGCCGTGACCTGCGGTGGTGTAATAGCAGAACGTGGCCCAATGAGGGCGCTGCTTGTGGAAAAAATACTGCTGAATGGAAATGGCATCTGTGCGATTCTGCTGCCACAGAGATGGGTTACTCAGTGCTCATGAGTACTGTTGAATGGAAATGGCGTCCATGTTAATGATGCCGCACAGAGATTGGTTACTCAGTTCTCATGAGTACTGCTGAATGGAAACGGTGTCCGTGCGATACCTGGTGCCACGGAGACGGGTTACTCTTGAGTATTGCTGAATGGAAACGGCATTGGTTCGATACCTGGTGTCCAGGAGATGGGTCACTTAGTACTCATGAGTACTGCAAAATGGAAATGGTATCCTTGTGATCTCTGGTGCCACAAAGAAGGGACACTCAATTCTCATGAGGACTGCTGAATGGAAACGGTGTCCGTGTGATTCTTCGTGCCAAGGAGATGGGTCACTTAGTGCTCATGAGTACAACTGAATGAAAATATGTTACCTGTGTGATCCCTGGTGCCACGGAGATGGGTTACTCAGTGCTCTTGAGTACTGCTGAAAGGAAACGGCATCTGTGCGATACCAGCTGCCATGGAGACTGGTTACTCAGTCCACGTTTTAATCACCACAACTGGCCATAAATTTACTAATGACCAAAACGGTTCTGCTGCACCACAAGAATGTATTAAGTATTACAAAAATTGAAATATGTTGAAATATACATTCCATTCTTTCTTTGGATCGTGCTCTCTGGATCCATTTCTGACTGGGTGTTTAACCTTAAAGACGCAAAGATTCAGTACATCACATGAACATGTCTGAGACTCATTCAGACTAAACAGACCATTGGTAGGAGATTCAGCACTCTCCATGGGTAGCTCTCAGCATCAGAGCTAGCATAGCATATTGCTACATTAAAACTTTTTTTTGGAAATTACAAAATTTTGGAAATGTATTTTTTTTCTGATAATTTGGGAATTAGATGCTGCATGTAGAATCATGAGAAATGTATATGATTCAGCTATAACCCCAGCCACCACCACCACCTTCATATGTATTCCCTGCAGCTGGAGAGCTGAGGCAGAGCTGGCCAGTCGATGCCCACATATGCTTGGATGACATGAGCTGGGATGATGGTAAGGGTCTGCCATCACCTTCTTTCTCCACCACCAAAAAAATGCTTGCAAAGTAACAGGCAGGTAATGGGGCAAACTGCCGTGTAATGTTAATGGATGACCCCCCGGTGTGTCTGCCGACTTTCAGGGGACTAATCAGAGTGAATGGATAAACAACCCTATGGCGCTACATCAGTGTCAAAACTATAAGTTGCAACATTACGTGCATAAACATCCCACTCGCGAGTGCAAATGTGAAACTCGTGAGCACAGAAAAATTTTCGTTTTTCATGGTACTGCGCTCTTTTCCTTCTCCTTGTACTTTTTTTTCCCCCTTCTCTAATTTATATTTCTTTCTTAATTTGAGAGATATCCTCACATTCCTAATGGATTACCTGTGCTGGAGTGATATTTTCGCACTCGAGTTTTGACATGAGGGTTGATAGCTCCTAGTTTTGTGACTGACTGCACACTGCGAAGCGTTTCTCTAAAAAAGATAAACAGGTAGGATAAAAGCAAACTGTGTTTTATCTGTCTTATAAAAATAATTTAATAGTCAAGCTGTTAAATTTGATGAGCATGCATTCACTGATTCCCATTGCCCACTTGTCTGTTCCCCCCCATCAACATAAAAAATAGGCAGCTTTTCGTATTGAGCACATTTCAGTTTCACATCTGCACTTGTGAGCGGGATATTTACACACGGGAAATGTTAAAACTCTCAGGTTTGTAGTTTTCACCTGTTGTTTTAGCACCCTGTAGTTTTGACATTAATGGGACACCTCCCCTCTACCAGAGTCTGTGCTATTAGGATTGATCCGTGTGAATGAATGAACACGCAGCTCCCGCTCATTGCGTCTGTGCTGACTTTCAGAGGAGCAGGTCTACATCTACAGCTGCCGCTGTGGTGGTTCCTACCTCCTTGGAAAAGATGAAGCAGAAGAAGAATCCATCTTGTGCTGTGATACCTGCTCCCTGAGTATAGAGATAAAGAGGACTTCCTGTGGATTACAGACTGTAAATGAAGACTCTCTAGACATTTGAGTACTTTAATAAGTTTATATACATGTTCAGGATACAAACAGAATTTGGCACGTATGATGTGGCTCAGTGAGTAGTGAGATCACCTCATACCTCCCGGGTTTGGGAGCCCATGTTGCAGGCTTCCCTCCAGCTTCTCTGCTTTCCTGCTGCAGTTCAAACTAAGTGGCATCGCTCAGTTGTGTGTTCGTGTTCCCTGTGATGGGTTGACGATTTTTATTATTTTTTTTGTCGATCATATGATTTTATCAGCATGTGAAGTTTCATTTAGAAAGTTTATTAAGTGTTAATCCTAGGTTACCTTTCCATCCCTAAAAAAACTATGCAAGTACTCAAACAAAACTTAAATGCCATACTGACATTTAAACTGACGCTGAGGATTAAACCATTTTAATCAAATGGGTTACTCTTTTTTTTCCCCACAAAAAAAAGAAATTTTTAAACTAAGCATAAATTTAAATAAAAACTTTATTGAAAGTATCACTGTACAACATATTAGCTACTTACAATATCTTACAATACATTTACAGCCTGCAAGAAGCTTAATCCCTTGGTATAATCCTTCCAGTTGGACTCTTGCTTAGTCTTCCAAAACTGGGTGGAGGCCAAAGCTGTGAAAGGAACACAGAGGTTAAAACACAGGAAACACTTTTATGTACTTCATATACTTCAGGATGCTTTCTGAAATGTGAAAAGTAAAACATTGCTCTATTCCATTTTAAAATATAAGAATTGTACGCGAGAGTTTTAGCAGCAGACTTCTGGTTTCAACACAGACACCGTGAGAATGCATGTAACGCAGTAATAAAACGGAGGATTAAACTAAGATCTTCATGTTGCCACATGCAGTATGAGCTGCTTTTTAAATCCCCTCGGAAGACCTTCAGACCTCAAAGGGTAAAATGTAGCACCAGTCTTTTCTGCCTGCAGTACCTTCAAGCAAACGCGTCCTCGGATGAGGGCATAGGGCACGGGGCCGTAAGCCCGTGAGTCTGTCGAGTTCCTCAGGTTATCCCCTTCCAGCCACACATGTCCTTTCGGGACCTAGATGCATAGAGCAGAATGATGGTTCAACTTTCCTTCCAGTTTACAAATGGTGCCAAACCTTCTTGCTCCTGCCAACTCTGCACAGAAGAACCTTTTCTTTCATAAGCTGCTGCTGTACACTTAAGCTTCAAGAACGGTGACTTGATAAACTGTTTTGTTATATTGTCTCTTTTCTTCCACATTGGAAGATGTTTGGGGAACAAGGTCACAAATTTATCATACTTCAAATGGGGTCATTAGGCTGTTTGTTTAATTCTGCCCCATTGTAACAGAAGCAGCTTAAACAAGGCTGGCTGTGCTCATCAGCATCCTGGGGTCTGAACCAAGGCTAGAGCTGCCAGTGGGCCCGCAACAGACCCAACCTTAATTGACTGTGACATCAATTATGAACAATCTCATCACTTCAGAAGAGTAGGCTTGTCAAACATCTAATTAAGTGCTCAGTAGCATATATGTGCAGACAGGATCAACAACACATTATATTGTAATAATGGCCATCACGAAATAGGTGTCTATTTTTGTTTTCTCTAACTTTTCACAGCTCAGGCCACTGGACAAAAGTAAAGCAGAAAGTTACCCATTTCCATACATAGTAAAGGAGCTTCTGTTACTGAAACAACAAGCAGCAGTTCAACTGAAACTACCCCTCCTCAGCCAACCCATCCATCCACCAATTGCCTGCTTAGGGTATCAGTACTATGATTAGGATCTTATCAAGCAGAGATTTCATTTAAAAAAAAAAAAAATCCAGTTAGCCTAACTGATACAAACTTCACATTGGTACTTGTGAAACTTCTGCAAACCTTTAAGTACCAGTTGACTTCAAAGGGTAAAAGGTTATGCTAAAACGTGTCCAGCCTAAACATTCTCACGATGATGGCATGCCAGCCTTTGCCTGTTAAAATAATTCCTCATTAATATGTAAGCACATGTTCCAACAGTTTGTCATCTGTTTGGCCAGAGTGTGTGCTCTCTAATTTAAAGATGCCTATGTTCTGTGTATGTAAATTAAATGATCCCCATTTAGAGCAGATGTAAAAATTCACACCCGGTGCCATTTGGCAGTCAGCTGTGTATAAAATGTGAACTGCACTGGCAAACTGTGCTTCTATATAATAAAGCTCCTTAATCTACTTTGTGTTTGGATTCGGGGTCATGGAACAATTTTCAGGTGTTTTCCACGTGTCGAATTATGTTTCTCCGCACGTTTGTGAAATTGAACAACACTAAATGACAACTTTTTTGTGAAAGTGTGCTATTTTAAATTAAATCAGCAGCGTGAACAGCAAGGCAAAAGCCAAGTGACTATTATTTAAAGACAGAATCCCTGCTTAAATGGATGATCAGTTTACTGTAATTTAGAAAGCCAGAAATGACTTGGGTGAGCCTGGATTGATTTCCTTAAATCAGCTGACGTCCCAAACAGCCAGTGCATACTGTGCTTTGTGTGGGACAAAAGGCCGGATGATAGTAGCAATGCATTCTGGGACCTTAGCGTGGGCACATTTATCCTGGCAGTTCAGAGACTGCTGTCACTTTCCCGGCAAATGCCATGATTTGTACTTAAATGGAACCTGAGACCTGACACTCGGAAGCAGTGGGAACAGGGAACAGAGCTGGTGAGAACTTCGCAGAATCTCGCCTCACAAGTTCACAGGTATCCCAGAAAGGGCTCTGAAAGAGGAGGCCGCATTCAAAGGCGCAGAGCAGCTCTTTCCCCTAATGAATCGCAATATCCACCCCCCCCCCAGAACTCAGACTTAATCTGAGTCAGACAAAAGAATCTGCGCCCCCACCTCCACTCCTCATATCCCTCCCCAGGTCTTTAAAATGGCCCCCGTTTGGTCCAGGGCCACAAATGTAATTACCTCCCAGTCTGCGGGTGTCATTCAGACAAAAGGTGGCTTCAGAGCGAACCACAGGTGTTACCTCTCCTGAGGATAAAGGACCATAACCAGGAGTGTTGAGAAAAACTGCTCAATTATACCAATCTTTGCTCTTTGTAAAGTACATTTGGATTTATTGCAAATAAAGCCATCCATGGTTCCCCATGACTATCAGGACTGCAAAGTAGCCTACCTCACCGTAGCCAGGGAGTAAACTTACCATGAAAAAAAACTCTCCTGAGTAAGCAGTGAGGTAAATCAAACTCAGTCTCCAACTGTAGCCTCTGCTGGCACAATGTCACCGAATAACCTGTCAGAACCTCGTTGCCGTAACCCGATCCTGCGCTCCTTAATAAGCCTTTCAGTCCTTAGTGCACCCTCAGACACGATGACTACTTTGCTGCAGATCAGGTGTCTCTGTTGTGACACACCGTTTTCAACATGCTGCGGTGAAATCACTCTTGTAAGGGGAGTCAAACTTGAGTGGATTGTGGAGGAGCTACCTGTGTACCATTGTGTACGTCTGGCTGAATACTTAAGCTATCCTGAAATTCACCAGCAAAAGAAAAAAACCTTAATTAGCTAAACTAAAAGTGCTTCTTCCTGTTAATACTACTTTATGCTGCTGTGGCTCATGAATATTACAGAGCCGGGTGATCTGCAGCTTATGCTGATTTAGCTGTGCTAAACGTATTCTAACATAATTCAAATAAAGACCGAACAAGTCCTAATGCTCATGAATATTCATAATCACATTGTGTTCAACCAGATTCTCTTGGTTCCCAAAGTGAGGACTGAAAGCAATGAGAAATGATAACCCAGCGTAGATATTTCCTATCAAAACACAGTTTGACTGAAAGAAAGGTATTTCCTAACCAGCTGGACAGATAACAGAGACAGAGCAGCACTGACTCTCAGCACAGAACCCATTCTGACATTTTCTATGGCGATCCTGCTGAAACAGTGGCAAGAACACCTGTCCATAGGATACACAGTGGAGGCACAGTATCAGTGGAAGGCCAGGGTACAGGAGCATGCTGACAGGGACACACTGCAGAGGGGATCCCTGCTGCGGGTACAGAAATGGGCTGACGAGAACACACTGCAGAGGGGATCCCTGCTGCGGGTAAAGAAATGGGCTGACGAGAACACACTGCAGAGGGGATCCCTGCTGCGGGTACAGAAATGGGCTGGCGAGAACACACTGCAGAGGGGATCCCTGCTGCGGGTACAGAAATGGGCTGACGAGAACACACTGCAGAGGGGATCCCTGCTGCGGGTACAGAAGAGTACTGACAGGGACACACTGCAGAGGTGATCCCAGCTGCGGGTACAGAAATGGTCTGACGGAGAACACACTGCAGAGGGAATCCCAGGTGTGGGTACAGCAGCGTGTTGACAGGGACACACTGCAGAGGGCATACCAGCTACTAAAAAGGAGATTTTTCATAATGACTGGATCACGCCCAACAAGCCACGCATCTGGTGCTGATCTTTACTGGGGACCCTTTACTCTACTGTGGATGTAACAAGAAGCTGAGAACACAGTGAAACATTTTGTGGGTTACATTAAGCATCTTCATTCCTCTCCATGCAACTCCACAGGGGTATGAGTGTGTTTCTGTACAAGCAGTTTTCACTCTACAGGCTTCTACGAAATATTAAAAGTGGACATTGGGTGTGTGTACTGCCAGTAATATAGCTGCGATCCAGGCTGTCACTCTGTTTACGACTGAAAACAGCTACCAAAGCAACGATTTACTACGCGAGCCTGTCCATCAGCTCATCCACTCAGCTGTCACTAATGCTAACAGCCTTCAAAGAAATTGCAGAGCCAGCTGCAGACAGTGAAGGGAAAATAATAACGAAAAGCAATAACAGTCGTTTCTACAAGATAGTGGGCTCTCAAATCCTACCTTTAATATAGATTCGAAAAAATGTTGATAAAATAGATTTACGATATGCGGCATGCTCACAACACATGAAAAAACACACGGCCATACAAACACATCACAATGATACAACTAAAAAGGGCTGATACTCACGTAAGTGTGTGTTTTAAATGTATCTGACGGGCTGCTGGTGCACACTTTGTCTCCTTCTAATCCAATTACTCTTTTACAAATATTCATCCTTGGATCAAAAGGACTTTTGACAATCACAATATCTCCCCTGAGAAAGAATCAATTAACATTCAGCCGAGGTAGAAAGCAATAAGGATTATCTTAGCACATGAATTTAAAAAACCATTTGTTCAATTAAAATGCTTATAATGGAAACTATGAACAACACACTGTTCATATATTTGAAGTAGGTGCAATTTACATGCAATTTCTTAGTCATGAACCAAAATTCTGAAAATTTCCATATTACATAGCAATTCTGAAAAAAAGGTTTTACTACTTGAATTGGGATGATTTTAACTTGTTTAATGTGAATGTTTAATGACTGAATACAATACTCACTTTTTGATTGTGTAAAAATGACGACTCAGCCGCTCTGAGAAGACTAGGTCATGGTTGATGATGGTGGGCTCCATAGATGGTCCAGAACACTGTAATAAACAGCAGACATCTCACTGAGACAATACATCAAACGCAAAGCGGCAGGCTGGGTGGTGGGCAGGGAGCACGTACCACCACCAGCTCTCCAATGTACTCTAGCGTGCAGTGAGCGATGCAGCCATACTGGATGGTAAAGCCCGCAAACGCCAGACTTTTCCCTACTGCACGCCTCAGCATATTAAGACCTGGAGGAAGGAAGAGAGGAAAAACCACGAGCTCACACATTCATCTGCACAATCACAGCATGCTCTTTAACACGGATAGGTGTTCGTTAAAGCTCAGTGCTGCTAGCTGATGTACAACAGGCCTTTCCAAAGGAAGCACAGTGTATTACAGAGAAAAGGGACATTACAAAACAGGTACAAGTGGCATCAGACTTCCTGTGGCACTGGGATCTGAGGTAAAGGGATACATTAATATTTGTTACCTAGACAGCATTATGGCAGATTTGACTCCATCTGCACGTTATACAAAAAAAATGTATAGGGTGAAGTTTGTGGTTAGCCACGCATGACTGTGAACCTTCTGGTGACAATAGATGGCTCATTTAGGGAAAAGGTAACAGCTGCTATCATGACAGCCCTAAAAGAAACAAGCACCTTGCTTTTCGATCCACTCATACTCCAGCTGGTTCCAGCTGCAGTACAGGGCCACTAACACAAGCATGCACCACAAATTCACCACCATCTTTTACTTTAATGCCATACTCCCATTTCACCCGCCAATGATGGCCAGGTCAGCTCTGGCCAAGCGACCAGTGTTCAGTGCGCATGAGGAGTGGAACACTGCCCCCTGCAGTCAGCCAACAGGCCACAGGCCAGCATCCGCCGGAGCCTGACGATGACACCAGACCGATGTTTCCAGGAATATGGCTTTGCTTAGTGGGAAAGATAATGGCACTTTGTCAGAAGACAAAGGCAACCCAACACACTATTGATTTTTGCTCAATCATCACAACGTAGCTGACTGGGAGAGCAAGTCTTAAACCTTATGAAAACATACTATTTAGATCAGATCGACTGGATAAGCCACTGACGGACTCCAATGTGTGGCGGCTAAAGCTAACAACCATATCCATTAAAAGTGCCAGCCCTCAAATCCATTATACTTTGTCCCTGAAGATGACAACACTGACATGGACAAGACGAGATCCCCCCCTTATTTAAATGCCCCATGAAGAAGTGCATCTGTGGCGGGAGAGTGAGATGAAGGGGACGCCTGGGCCTCCATCAGCCAGTCAGTAATGAATTCTGCACTTTCTTCACGTAGCCCTGTTGATGGCATTAACCACAGCAAGCAGAGCGGAAATCGCTTTGAGCTTCATGAATGACGTCCCAGAGATGGGAAGGGATTAGGCGCCGCGCGCTGCCAGTTACAGCGCCAGGTGGCTCGCTCCCTCGCCAAGGTGTCACACTTAATCCCATTACGGCGCCACTACATCTCAGACATCGAAATGATCCACAACCCCAAAACGCTCAAACACACAAACACGCTTCTTCATTCCGGCTCTTTCCGAGCGGCTGCGAGCGGCTTCACCTGAAAGGCGTCGCAGTCCACAGTGCACAGGCCACCGCTGCCGTTTTATTGGACCCGCCGCCTGCTCGCCAGTGCCAATCTTGATCCAATTTCGCCGTGCCGGTGGCCCCTTATTCCCTTTCCAATGATACATCTGCTCCAAAATCCCACTGCTACAAATCAGGATTAATCCTAGCCGGGACCTCATGTTGATCCCGTCTTCCAAACATGTCGCAGGTTTCCCCTCTTCCACAGTCTCTCAAGTCTCTGGGGAATGACCTTAAGTCCCAGATCTGCTTAGAAGAATAGGGCAGGGATCACAAAACATGACCCCCAGAACCTTGATATCGCTATATTCCGACCCGTGGGGCTTTTGTCATAGGTGAAGATTAGGACTTTGCATAATAAGATTACACGGCAAGTGAATGATATCAAGGGAAGATCCATATGCGGCCGCCTGGTTTTCACTGGCCCGCTCTGCCTTGGGAGGACCACTGCGCTTTACATGGGATTCGTTCAAAATGAGCTGGCCATTCCCAGCCTCTGCAATCACAGATTAGATCTCTATTAGCAACAGGCCGGGCGTCTGCTTGGGAATTCTCTGCCGTGATGGACATGATGAATGTTTTATGCAGCGCCTGGTCGTCTTGGTTACATGTGAAATGCACAAAAAAATCATAAACAGTACAAGTAAAGAAACAACTTGACTTGTTTATTGAAATGCTTTGACTAAAATTTTCCTTCTCAATTACTTGCCAATATGTCAGAGTAGAAGCCGCATAGCGGATGAGGGTCTGAATAAAGAGCGAAAGCACTTGATGAATGAAAGTACATGAAAATACAGCCGTCTGTTCGTATTGCAAAGCAGAACTTGAATATCACCACAGCAAGACTGCCATGCAAATCTTAAAAGACGACATTCAGGTTCGAAAAACTCATCCAATAATGTGAGGTTAGACATACATATGGGCCATTTGGTATTTTGGATTAGCCTAGCCTGTCTTTGTCATCATTTTGACTTAAATTACATTGCATAATTTGCTTTCTCTATGTCATTATAATTGCTAAGACAAAGGTTATAACCTTGTTACTGAGCCACATCATCTTATACAATACAGTACATAACCATATAATATTTTTTGTTTGCGTATTGAGCATTTTTGAGTAGGGCTGAATGATACTGCAAAAAGATCAGAGTTTTTAAAGTGAGTTTAAAGAGTTTAAAATTAACTGTATAACCAAACAGAACTTATCTACTAACACAGCCTGTCAAATAAGTTGGTGGTACCTGCTATCAGTTGTGCCAACAGACACACAGCAGTGCCGACAAATCACTTGCTTTTGCTTAATATCATCTTCATGGATTACAAAATGTTCTATCTAGGAAGATAAATGTCTTTTCGTGACCAAGCAGCTCTTGTTTGCTTTTCTCCGATTCACTCATTTTTGCTTAATTTCTCATGAACATGCCGAACAGTCTGAGTGAATATAGCAGCGAAGACGAAAATAATAGCCTTGGTGAGCTCATGTAAAAGCGGTAAACCTTAGACTTTAAAAATTTTTTTTTTAAAAACATATACTACCAGTCACAGGTTTTTACCACTGTTCAGTTTATTTCATACACTGCTGATTTTTTTATTCTTGTTAAGCACTGGAAAGTTGAGGGAACAACTATAAATGAAAATAAGTCAAATAAAACAAGTTTCTTTTATAACATGGAAAGAGTATGTAACAATGCATGACTGACATCCTGTTAGCTGGTGATGGCAGCCAAATCCTAGGATGTCCTTTCATTTTAAATGCACTAGTTAACGGTTTCATCCAGTGAAACTGAGCAGTATTTAATGCTCCTTGTTAAAAGAGTGCCGGAAATTTTCTCTGCTGTTATAACTGCTAGAGGAGGTTAGTTAGTTTGATGAATCAAAGATTCAAAAGGTACTCAAATGGTGAAGATACTGTACATTTTTTTAGTTAGCAAAGAATATGGAGTGTATTTTTAGTAAATGTTTAGTGAGTAACATGCAAATGCAGAAAATCTCAGTGCGTGCAAAGAACTTGACTGGTAGTGTATACTAGATAATGTTGAAAAGTCGAATCATTAAAATTGCAAACCTTTTTAAATTTTGTTTCCTATCACTGACCAAACATGTTTCAGTGCAACTTATTTAAGAAGTGAACCTAGCAGACTATCGCGGTCCTTGCGATGTGACTGTTCCATGTGCACGAAATGCCATATCAATATTAACATCGCACTTTGTGCAAGCCTAGTATTGAGGGTGGCACAGTGTGGAGTCGGCTTGTTTACCCTGTGTGTCGCTTTTCGGCAGATTCTCCCATTTCCTTCCACTGTCATGCAACTTAAATGAACTGGAGTGCCTAAATTCACTGCATGTAAGAGTGAGTGTGAATCCTTCAATTTTTCCTTGGTTCCTGCATTGTATTGGTGTATTATACTATTTTATAAAAATGAATATAGATTAGGTAGATTACTCGATTATTAATGTAATCGATAGAGACAGCCCTAAAACAAACAAGCACATTGCTCTTCCAGCCTTAATATACTTATATGAATGGTCAAAGACAAAAGAATGGTAACACCAATAAGCACATCACAGAGCAGAAAGAAATCAAGATGCAGTGAACCAGTGACACGATTCAAGTCTGATGGCAAAGACTTATCCGACTGCAATCCTATTAATGCTACTGTGATGATGTAGCAATAGTTTGTTAATGCATCTTGTGTGTCAATGTGTTACTACAGTGTAACTAAATGTGTCTAAATATGGCAGGCAGCTCATTTTTGGGTTCCCAGCCTTTTAAAGACATTGCTTGGTACCTTTCAAATTGAATTAAAGCAGCTTATAAAAGAGGATGACAAAGAAGATGCATTTGTGTTTCCCAAGCCCCGATTCTGAGGAATACCAGGAATACTTAGTGACAAGGGGGGCAGGCATGTGAAAGCACCATCACTGCCACAGTGTGACACAGAGGCATTGTCATTCAAGAATGCAGCCGGTCAGAAAAGCCCGGGCCGATGGGGATGCAGCCCGCTCAAGATGCCGGCAGGGACAAAGTGACATGGGGATGCAGCGTACTCAGGATGCTAGCAGGGACAAAAGGACCTGGAGACACGGCCCGCTCGGGATGGCGTGGCAGGGATAAAGAGACATGGAGACACGGCCCGCTCGGAAAGCCAGCAGTGACAGCAGTATCCCGAGTGGTAGCCCACTCAGGATACTGGCAAGGACAAAGGGAAATGGCCTGCTTGGGATGTTGATAGCGACAAAGGGACATGGGGACGCAACCCACTCAGGATACCGGCAGGGACAAAGGGACATGGGGACGCAGCCCACTCAGGATACCGGCAGGTACAAAGGGATATGGGGACGCAGCCCACTCAGGATACCGGCAGGGACAAAGGGACATGGGGACGCAGCCCACTCAGGATACTGGCAAGGACAAAGGGACATGGGGACGCAGCCCGCTCAGGATACCGGCAGGGACAAAGGGACATGGGGACGCAGCCCACTCAGGATACCAGCAGGGACAAAGGGACTTGGGGACGCAGCCCACTCAGGATACCGGCAGGGATAAAGGGACATGGCCTGCTTGGGATGTTGGTAGCAACAAAGGGACATGGGGACGCAGCCCGCTCAGGATACCGGCAGGGACAAAGGGACGCAACCCACTCAGGATACCGGCAGGGACAAAGGGACATGGGGACGCAACCCACTCAGGATACTGGCAAGGACAAAGGGAAATGGCCTGCTTGGGATGTTGATAGCGACAAAGGGACATGGGGACGCAGCCCACTCAGGATACCGGCAGGGACAAAGGGACATGGGGACGCAGAACACTCAGGATACCGGCAGGGACAAAGGGACATGGGGACGCAACCCACTCAGGATACCGGCAGGGACAAAGGCACATGGCCCGTCTGGGATGCTGGCAGGGACAAAGGGACCTGGAGACACGACCCAGTCAGGATATTGTGGCAGGGATAAAGAGACTTGGGGACATGGGCTGCTCGGGATGCCAGCAGGGACAAAGGGACATGGGGACGCAGTCCAATCCAGCTTGGAGGCAAATGTCAAAGAGGACTCTGGGCAGCACATTCTGGGGGTGAAGGTGCAAGATTAGAGAACATGTCAAAACATTATTCTCATTGCCTGCCTGGGTACTCTTCAAGCAAGACAGCAGAGACTTACAATGACTCATGTGACCTGGGGCTCTGCCAACAAGGCATGGCTGTGTAACCTCACATCCAGCAGCACTCAGGCCACTTCACACTGTTTGCGTGTGAGATGCTCTGCTGATACTGAGAATCATTATTTAAGGGCATCTGAGAAAACCTACAACAAATCACAGGCAAGCACCCAAAATTCACCTACAGAATGATCACTGCTGCATCACGCATCTCCAGCAATGGAAATCGGTATCAAGAACATTTGCACAGGATCTAAACATTGAGCTAATCCATTTATCTAACAGCAATCCACAGACAGCATGCAATGTCTTTACAAGTCAGGCTTCCCTTTGTCTTTCATAAGCAGGAACAATGATGAAACATCTGAACCAGCTTTATTAATGTGATGCCTAATTAACGCCTATCACATCCGTTGTCAAATAATCCTCCCTCAGTATCGTAAATCAGAAGCAGAGCCATCAAAGGTAGTCTCAGATAAGAATCTCCCCCATTATTATTAGAATCAGCAGGTGCCCCCAGCATCTGGTTGCAGGGTAGGGATTGCTATCCAGCATTCTCCATCTACAGACCACCAGAGCAGCTAGATGGGAGAAGGGGACCCACATTAAAAGCTCACATGGGCCCTTCTCTCATTTAATGACTAAATTAAAAAATCAAGGAAAGAGGACACCAGACTGCGACGTAGCTAAGAAGATTATAAGACGTCTTCCACTCACAACCAGCTACACCTAACAGTGCAACCTGGTGGCCACAGGATGGGGTAGCAGGCCTTCTCCCCTTCAGGTTCACCAAGGGGCCGGTGTACGTGGGACATGGACTGAAACGCTAGGCCCGGATTTGACTACATCATCGGCACGACCAGATTCACATCATCCAAGCAACCCTAGAAGACAAAGTAGTCAAATGACAAACAAGAGACGTGTGCATACACAAAACTATGAAAGATCAGCGCTGCCAATAATATCAATAGCACTAAATGCACATTATTCATTCGGATCCTGTTTTTAAATTTCTTTATGTGTTTTTTTCCCCCATTTTATTTTGGGGGAAGTTCACCCATTTTGCACAATGACTTCGGGCATGAATATTTTCTGTTGTTATTATTACAGTGTTATTGCCACTAAAAGTACTTGCAGATCTTATCAAGCTACCTAACTCGTAACTTTCATTATAGTCAAACCCTTCAAACCTCTCCAGAAGCCACCTTCCAAAGCATATTTTGCAACAACACATGTATTTTATCCATAACTTCTGCTCTATAATCACCTGTTAACAGAATTATCAAAAATCAATATTTTTTGGGGTCATTTGGAAATTTCACATATGGCCAGAAAAAGAGGATTTTGTCACAGAAGAAAAACATCTCCTAAGAATAAATCCTTCTCCGAACAAAAGCTTACCTCTGAAACCATCCATGGATGATGAACTATGACATTTCTTTCAATATGAACCAAACAAAATTCAGACTCCTACAACTAACTCCTAGCTACGATCATATTCATACTCTTGTTATGTAGTACAGAAGAGAAACTCAATTATTTCAATAAAATATCTGACGTTAAGATGGTTTGTGCCACATATTACCATCAGAAACCATCAGTCAACAAAAATGATGTTAAAAAAAATGCATCAAGGAGACAACTTCAATAACTTACTATTAGGAAACAATAATTCTACAGAAATAAATAAGTAAAGCTTTATTTATAAAATGCTTTTCACAGATAAGTCAAAAAGCGCTGTACTAGTCCAAAGTAATCAACCTTACAGTACATAAACAATAACTTATGTAAAAAATTAAAACATTAATGCAAAGTTCATGTAATATATTTAACCATGTTCCAACCTGGATAAGCATAATAAAAGTTAAATGGGGTTAGGGTGGTAGGACAGATGCTAGGACATAAATTGTAAACTAAAAAATGAATCAGAATATAAGTGACCATTAAAAGTTATGTTTAGAGTAAGTAATTACTAAAATAAATTGTCCAACTTTACATTCCTTTCTATTACACAAGGACTATTCCTTCATGCAAAGTCAGAAATGCACATTGCTTTTTCAATTAGTGATATACTGAAGCTGCTGTCAAAACAGCAAAACAAAAGCACTTCAGAAATTATCCAACAAAAATCCCCTTGCATTTTACTATTAAACAGAAGAACATTGAGAACATGCTCATGAAAGAGCACTGCATAAAATACATCTGTGGTGTAACGTGACAGACCAAAACTGGCACACGGCATGCTCACCTTTGTCAAAGCTAGCTACATAAGATAGTTTATACATCTGTGCCCTGTTATTAATTGTGAATTGGTTTCCTACAATTACTAGCAGTACAGAAGGTTTAAAATACCTTCTTTTTCGGCATCATGATGTAGGATTTCAATTGTGTGACACTTGGTGACACTTAATGGAACACTGAACTTTGTTTCCATAGACAAAGCTGGAACCAGTAAGCCGGTGAGGCTGGTCTGGCATGTGACATTTCCAGGCCAACACTCAGACCCACTCCAACCCTGGCTGAACTCTGCTTTAACATGGATTTATAGAGATACGTAGTGTATGTGGCAGTGGCCCCTGCTAGTTATTACTCTGTGATCAGACAGGTCAAATCCCATGGCTGGCAGAATAACCAGTAATCAATGTTGGGTCCTTAAGCAACTCGGTGAAACCCCCCCCCCCCCCCCAAAAAAAAAAACTACTCCAGTGACCTGTACTACGAAGCGGGGTTACTGGCTTATCAGGGTAACTTGTCAGATTTAAGGTAGTCTGGCCAAAATGTAAGTGAACGAATATGTGGTCCATTTAAACTGTGGTACCTTAAATCCGACAAGTTACCCTGATAAGCCAGTAACCCCGCTTTGTAGTACAAGCCACAGGGCTGCCAGAATGGCTGACCATGTGCTCTGTTCCTAAAAAATGCTAGCTACCATGATTTTCATGTGACAAATTCAAACTCAGAAACAGATACTGGGAAGTAAGAACATAAACTGGAGGAAAGTGTACAAACTGGTCCAAAACGCTTAAGATATAACTAAAGGATATTTCTTACTTTTTCCCAACCTATGCCCTGTCTTTATTTCTTTCAAAAACCGCACAGAAATGAAAAGTAACAATTCCAAAGGTCAATTTCATCCTCAAATTTTCTCTTAGAAGCCACTAGGCACCAAAATAGAGCTTGACAAACTAAGTTTTTCAGGAGATTTGTAGCGCAATCACACACTCAAAGGTGAAAATGAAAGTGAGGATCCCCACTCATCAAGTCGGGACGTCCCCTATAATAGCCATGTCTAAACAAACCGTTAAAGATAAGGAATTGAATGTGTGTCTTTATTTGGTATCAGAAAAAACACATTCTGACTTATTAGGTCTAACCTGAGCCAATTTTCAATTTTACCTGCCGGTACCAATCATCAGGAGAGGCTGTCCCTCATACATCACAGGGGTGCGACAGTTCTCGCACTATTTTTTTCGTATTAAGTAAAGTTTAATGCTAGCTGAAAGCGGTATCCTACTATCGGTCAGGTACTTACAATATCCTAGACATTTTATGCAATGAAATTCGCTCGTTGGCTACATTAACAGCTGCATGCTGCTCTGTATATTTCATTACAAAAACTCACCTTTAAATCTTCAAAACACTGTTTTAACCTTAAGCTGAGTTTGACTGCTAGTAATGTGCTATTCTACTCATACACACAATTCGGATGTAACTGAGCGAAGTAGACGTCTGGCTGTGCCTCCCCAATAAACGTGCATGTCATTGGTTACAGGTCAGGAAGCCCTTTTCTGATTGGCTCTCCGGAGCGATCCGACGTCAGTCTGTTAGTTAAGGTGCTAATGAACATGGCGATGTCTGTTAGTAATACCGGCGAAAGGAGAAGCCAACAAAATACTCGTCCTGCATGCAATACGACGAGTTTCCAGAAGAAATCACGCAGCAAATTAGTGTCAATCCCAGGAACCAGACCCTCAGTCCAGAATGGACAGCTTATTGTTTCTACCGGTGTTACGTCTCTTGACTATGTGATAGGTCAGTTATAATTATTTAGTTTTATCGCCCCTCTAAAGTTATTGTGTATGTATTTCATTTATTCACTACACCTTTAATGTCCCGGTATCCCATTATATTTTGCTAACTGAACTGATAGGCGTTGGTATACCTGTAATGTCTAAAATGAATGCCTGGTTGTGTTTATTAGGAGGTGGTTTAGCCGTTGGAACTCTGCTGCTTGTAGGTGAGCAATATTGTTATTTTTTTATCTACGCTTTTTCAAAATACGTGTAATAATAAGGTGTATTAACTAACATAAGTGTGCTTTTTTGTATGCCTAATCAAGTAAAACTTTAAATTCTAAATAAAAATAAGCTAATGTTTTAAATATGTATGTAAAAAATAGTTCATAGTTAAATGTTTTTAATCTACATCATATGTGTACAAGGCAGCAGATAACACAGTGTTTAAGGACACATGCTTAAAGCCAGGCTTTTGCTGGTTCAAATTCTGGGATATAATACCATCTAGCATGTGAAATCCGTCCATCCATCAATCATCTACTTAATCTTGAGGGGACTCGAGCCTTTGGGAACAGGGACAGCCTGGCTGCTTGATGGCAAAGCTCACACATTATGAGACATAAAGAGATGCCAGTTAGCCTTTCTGCATGTAGTGTAACATAACTTCTGCATGCACAGAGCACAGGCCAAATGCAAAGCTCCAAACAGAGCTACCCACTGAACTGAGGTGCTGCTGTAGCATGTAAACAACTCTAGCACAGTTTCATCTGGATAAATTAGTAAAACTGTTTGACACTTGGGGTGTTTTTAAGTTCTATGGATATTTTATAGTTACATGGATATTTTATAGGGTCTTTCTATTTAATTGTAACTCTTATGTAGAATAATTTTTTTTTGGCTGTTCTGTATTCCTTTACAAACCCCACCTGTCAGCCAATAAGAGGTCTTTCAGGGGATTAAATGTTGGCCGGATCCTCACATTCAGTGGTTAATTTCATCAGGTAATGGTCGTTTCAGGTGGAGCTTAGCCGCTGTAATCACACATCCTGCCATGCAGGAGATTCAAAGCTGCAGCCTGTCCCAGCATAGAATACCTGGCATTTGCCTTGGTCCTCTGAGTGAATTATTTTCCTGTTGATGTTCTTATGTTTTCCTTTAGTGCTGGATTTGCACCTTACAGGTCTATGTACGAAACTCAGGTTTTATGTGGTGAGAAGTTGAACAAAGTTCTTAGGCTCTTTGCATAAAATGAAGCTTATACATGAGGTTTTGGGTTTTATTCAAATAGATTAATTTTGGACTCTTTCTATTTATGACTGATTGTAGTTTTAGTCTGCTGTATTTATGCTTAGTTCTGCTAAAGTTTTGGTTTAAATTACAGGAGACATTACCTTCTCTTACACTGGAACAACTGCTGATAAGATAAATGCATTTATTTGACAGTAATCTGTAAAACCAATGTTGTTTGGCTCCATAATTATTACAGTATAATCAGGGAGAAGTATTTCTATACAGATTCCAGTCAATGGGGCACTATCGTCATTTCTTACCTGTTTGGAGTCTTACTTGGTATGAGACTGGATCACATTACTAGAAAGCTGGTTGAGTTTTTTGTGTGTAATCTTTGTGCTGGTGTGGCAGCCATTATACAAAAATGAAATGCAAGTATAAAACAGCTTTCTAGTCTGACGGTATCATGCATGTTTTGTTTATGTGAACTTGGTGTCGTAGCCTTTTATATTGTTTTAAGGAAGCTTTATGGCAAAACTCTGCAAAAAGACATTACATAATTAACATTATCTGCTAGTTTTACAGCTAGCATGTTTTAGGTGGGGTATCTTGATCTTAGGCTTCAATTTTTTCAATGGTGCACATAGGCCATAAGAAACAGGTCAACATTTTCTCAATACAAAACAACCTGATATAATTTAAAAACATCCATCCATTTTCTGAAACTGTTTGTCCTATTCTGGGTCGTGGGGGGTCTGGAACCTCAGTTAAAAACAGTATTTAATAATTAGTTTCAAAGCAGACAGTGTGATAAAATACCTCCATGTGACTGACATATTGTTATAATCCTCAACATCGGATGCATATTATGTTTAGTAATTTGGGACAGTAAGCACTCTGCATTTGCCATTATGGTATTACTTTGTTTGATGTGATTGTGTTCCCTTGAATGAACTCTGAGGAGGCCTTTGCCTGAGCTAAACTCCATCTTAATACACATTCCCATGTAAGGCTGGTCAGTCACAAAAATGTGAAAGTGAGCAGGATCCTTTGCTTTTTCAAATGTAAACGTCTAAATGACACCACCAGCTATACCAATGATTTTATGTATTAGCACAAGCAAACATACTTGTTCGCAAATAGGATCCTATAAGTAGGTGAAAGGAACAAAACAAAATGAAAAATTAAATTGTAAATGGCTAGAAATTAGTTACTGACAAAATGTCTTCAGTTCAATTTATTTTTTTAAATAATATAGTGCATGTTCACAGCATTACATTGTCTCAAAGCGCTTTATGTTATCCTTGCCTGTGCCCTCAGACCATAAACCAGAGGTGATGGTAGCAAGAAAAAAACTCCATAATAGGAAGAACCCTTGTGAGGAACTAGACTCAAAGGGGGAACCCATCCTCCTTGGGAAGGCAGAGGAACTCAAATGAACAAAGTCCAGATTTATACTCTCCAACTTAAGTCCGGGAGTAAATGCAGAATCACTGGCAGCAGGGCAGGCCGGAGAAATGTCACAAGTAGGGGGGCAGGCAGGAAGGACTTCACAGGTAGTTGGGGCATTGCAGGCAGCAGGGTAGGCAGGATATCTTGCTTTTCTGGGTCTCCAGGCAGCATACCCCAGGAGGGGTGAGGTGGTACAAAAGTGCATTAGCCAAAGTAGAGGAAAATAGAGGCAGTGCAAACAGTTAGGTGAGTGCAAAATGTTAGCTTCAGCAGGTCTGGCTATGGCAGCATAAGTAGGAGGGAGATGCAGGTTGGAATGAAGGCTTGGGGAGCCCCTGAACATCAGCACTCTAACTCCACACAGGGGTGTGAAGCTGGAGTGACAGCACTTGCTACAGCTAGAGTGACAGTACAGTTCATCCAAAGCCAATGGCACCCATCCCCACTCAGTTCTGCGTCTCACACTATATAGGCCTTACTTGGAGCAGTTAGCTAGAGCTAGAACTAGAGTCCCAATAAGTTAGAGTAGACCTAGAGCAGCGGTGACCAATGTTATCCGCAAAGGGCCGGTGTGTATGCAGGTCTTTGGGATAACCTGTAGGTCAGCTGTTAAAACCCAGGAATGAGGACTCTTCGGCCAATCGGTCCTCTAATTAGTAATACAATTAGGGAGCTGCAGCGAAAACCCGCATACACAGCGGCCCTTTGCAGATAAGATTGGCCACCCCTGACCTAGAGGCAGAAAGCAGCACCATGATAGACATATGAAATGATCAAATATTCCCTGATGTTCTGGTCACTGCTTGATCAGGCAGTTTTGTGTTTTTTGAATGATATTAATTATTAAATGATAACGTAGTTTTCTTACTTACGTTGTATATAATGTGCTTAGCAGTTTTGTTGCTGACGGAAGTGCCATTCTTCAGTCTAATTCTTAACATTAACAGTAAGGCTGGAATTTGGCATCTCTTCATTTGTTACATTTTTTATACAATGATTGTAAATTAATCTTTTAATGGCTAGCTGTGTTTAATTATAAGGTACCATATGTTCCTATGTAAGCTGATTGTGCTTTTGAAACACTTACAGCCCCACAGTGAGTTCTGGTTCCTTCAAAAGCAAATTTTCTTGCAGGAAAAAGTGTATTGAGTGGCAATGTAATCACTAATGGCTTAAATCAGAAGTTTTTGTATGAATCACACTGTCCATTTGTCTGGAAGCAATTTGTCCTTGCTTGTTGGTGAAAGTGTTTTTGTGTCCAGTTAATTCTTTGTCTTGCTTTAGCACGTGCTACTTCTGAAGCCAAATCAAGATTTTTAAATGGAAAGCAGCTGAACCACTATAAACATTGAAACTTTGAATACATTTTAGTATTGTTGCACTGAAAAAATCATTTGAATTATGAACACTCCAGTGCCTTTCTCATTATCTGCAGTTTCAGTACAAACAAGACTGCCTAAAACTATATATTTGATGCTGTCAGTTAAGAAATACTAGTCTGTTTGAGAAGGGAAAACAAATCTGAATAATCTCAAGGTAATGTTTTAGGTTTGCTGCCATGCATCACCTGTTTTTAATGCCACTGTTGCAGCTACATGAATTACTGTTATACACAGAATAACAGTTATTACAGTATATTAATGGTTTTATTGGTCTTTCTGGTGGGTTCATATCATTTTTTTTTATGGAAAAGATTAAACTAAGTGATTGACATCCTGCATTTTTGTCATGCTTTTCTAAGACTGTGGGTTCTGAGTACAACAGCGGGAAGCAGATAAAGTGCTGCCCTGTGACATTTACGGCTACCTGGAATGTCTTTGCTCTGTCAAGCTGCGTCCCACTATATTCCTTTGCAGAACGTATATCAAAATGAGCAAAGTCTCTTCCGCTGAAAAGAGCCAAACCCACAATTGTTGAAATGAGTGATCTGTCCTGGGCTCTGTCATCATTACCCAGAGAGATGTGCCCGCCCCTAAAACAATCCCACACAGGCTAATGGCCCCTGCAGATTTCATTTGTAAGACACTATAGAAAGCTAACGACAATAGGCACCATCTGAGAAGCCCCATCTGGGTGCCTTTTAGATGCTTTGAGTACCACAAAGGACTGCTGACCTAGAAATCCATCAATAAAAGACAGTCCTTGAAATGACAAATTGAAGAGCTGTGGAATTCCCTGTCAGTGTGTCGGCATCCTGAGCCTAACGACGACGCCATTCTCTGGCTGACTTATCACTCAGTGTCACACTTGCAGAGGATTCTGTCATCATTTGGCAGCTGCAGGTGGCTGTTCACAGGGGTGCCTGGTAAAGGAGTCCTGAGTGGGCCTTTGGATGTGTTCCGTAGGCTGGTGAGGTGACACTGTGAGGGGACCATGTGGGCTGGACTGCTTGGAAATGGCTGCTGAAGCTCAAGCTGTACCTGCCCTCTATCAGTAGGGCAGATCTCAATCTATGTCTCTGGCTTCGGCCAGAATGAGACACCAGAATGAGAATAATCATGACGGCCCATCCAGTCAGATCTGTTAGGTATTGAGTTTATAGGGATATTCAACAGGTTAAATAAGTTATGTACTCATGCTTTGAATGGTAGCTGAGAAGCTTACGAAGTGAAGCTTCATAGAATCACATTACAAAGCATAAAATGACATTACATATATTTTAGCTTGTTGTGATATAGTCTGCTAAGACTTTGCATTGTTCACTTTCCTTACCAGAGGAAGACAAGTATGACAGCTACTCCCGCATGCTGCTGAAGTACTTCCTGGCTGAAGGTGTGGTGTGTGGACACCATGTCTTCTTAGGCTCCGCTCGGGATCCTCCAGATGAAATTATGCAGGTATGGGGAATGTTGCCAAAATGGCCACTGTATATGCATCGTAAAATGACACATAGTTACAGTCAGTTGTGCAAAATTTTGTGAATTTATCCATTCCCATGAATTCGATGAAATGCCACTAATGAAGATGCATTTATAAATACCTTTGAAGCGACTTGTCACTTGGAGACTTACAGTTGACTTTAATGATACACAAGGGTAGATGGGCTAAATCACTAAGTGACAACTGAATAATAGGTTTTGAAGGTAGTCTCCTGATCGGCACAACGAATGCGATAAAAGCAAAGAGGTGAACCAGATATTTGAAGCCAGTTTTGTCTCTAGCACCATACATTACGGGTTGTAATTTGTAGTTTGGGACATTAATTATTTTCTTTTTGATCAGTAATCAGAAAAGGTCAGAGGTGAGGCCTGTCATGTCTTTCCTGATGTGAGATGGCAACAGATGCTAATTTCTGGACCATTACTGTCCTCTCCATGTGGCAGATAAACCCTGCGGAGAGAGACAATCTAACAGACTGTAATTATCTCTCCACCATGAGCCTGATGGAGACGAGCAGAGCAGATAAAGAGACCCATCACCTACCTTAGATATAATATTTCACTACCCAGCAATTTATCCATCATCATTGAAAACATTCAGGCCTATTGTTGTCAGCCCAGGGATGGAGACAGCATTAAGATTCAGTCTCAGAAATCACATCATTTTGCAGTAAAAAACGCAGAGCAGCAAGCTCCTGCTTCCAGGGATGCTGCATGTCTCTCTGGCACTTATCTATAGTTACCTTTCTGATGGGCATATTAAACATACACCAATACATTTTAGACAAAGTTACATTTTTAATGACTTCAAATTGCTTGAATACATCTGTCTTCTACCTGCTCATCCTAGCCAGGGTCGTGGGGGGCCTGGAGCCTATGCCAGTTCGTCACAGGGCACATACTTGCACAAAATGGGCAATTTAGATCTCATAATTAGCCTTAACTGCAAGTCTTTGGACTATGAAAGGAAATTGGGGCACAATTGAATATACATAAGAAAAATTCTTTATATTTTTGTGTATATACACTGGAGGTCAAAATTAGAGAACAGTTTATGAACACTTGATTTTTTTCAGAAATAATCATTTTCATTGCTCAACATTTGAAGGAATTACTGTTGTGGCTATACCATGCTACTAGAACAGTGTTATACAAAATAACCAAGGAAGTCGAACAAAAAAAAAAACTTTATTTTGCAGAAAACACAGTGATCAAAATTAGAGAACAGCACTGACTGTAGCATGAAGAAAGATCACAACTAAATTTTCTGAAGGTTACAACAATAAAAAATTAATAGGAAGAGTACAGGCCATTGCATTGAATGACTTCAGCACATCTGTGGCCACAGGACATCACTAGTCTCTCACACAGCTCTGGTGTGATTTTGGTGCACTCTTCTTGCAGTCTCCTCCACAGCTCAGTGACTGTAGTAGGTTTCTTAGCCATAACTTTGTTGCCAAGGATTTTCCAGAGATTTTCTATTGGGTTTAGATCAGGACTCTGGGCAAGCCATTTCATAATTTCAATGTTTTCAGTTTCAAGGAACTGCTTTACCTGGTTCGCTGTGTGACAGGGGACATTGTCCTGCATGGAAATTGCTGGCTGAGTGGGTGATGAGCGCAGGGAAGGAACTACATGTTGTCGAAGAAGGTTCTGATAAACATTTGCATTCACTCTGCCATGTAGATGTATAAGAGGCCTAACTCCTTCTGCAGAAAACATTCCCCAAACCATGACACTTCCTCCTCAACCTTTCTCTGACTTAACACAGTTGGGGTTCAGTCTTTCCCCAGTTTGACGACAAGCATAATGTTTCCCATCAGTCCCAACTGAATTAAACTTGCTTTCATCACTAAAGTGAACTTTGGACCAGTTCTCCTCTGTCCACACAACATGCTCCTCTGCAAAGGCTAGTCTAGCCTTCTGATTCTTCCTGCTTATGAGCGGTTTGGTCACTGCAGAGTAGGCTCTCAGTCCAAATGCTCTTCAACGTTGAGACACTGTATGAGGAGCCAGATCCTTACCCCGTTCGGCACTGAATTGGCGAGCAATCCCAGCTGCAGTGTTGCAGCGATTCCCTATTGACATTCTCCGCATTATCCTGTCCTCTCTTACGTTTGTCTTTCGTGGATGACCAGCCTTCGTGGGGGACTTGAATGAGTTTGTGACTAGTAAAGGTGCAATATTCTAGAAATCACAGATTTGGAATGACCAGCTTCTCTTGCTATGGCTGGTAGGGTCACATCCCTTTGACCTTCATCTGGACAGCCTGCTGCTGGAGGGCTTCGGTCACTTTCGTACGGCTCAACATCTTGCAAAGTCGTTGATAACTGGAAAGTTAGGCTGCCAGTTAAATAGGGTTTGTCAGATAATTAAGGAAATTAGCATCTGCTGCCAGATTAACACCAATTACTGGGAGGTATCTGAACGTGTTCTCTAATTATGATCAGTGTTCTTTTTCAAATATCTCATTTAAGTTTCTTATACCGTGCTTCTGAATTTATGTAACTCATGACATATGGTTAAAATAATGCTCTTTTTTTCCTGTTTGGATAATTTCCAAATAGGACTACGTAGTGACTTTGACATTTAGGAAATTGTAGGTTGTTCTCTAATTTTGATCTCGAGTGTACTGTTTTAATGTTCTAAGGCGGATGGTAGTCGCTTTGTTTCCAAGTGTGATCTGTTAGGATGCCCATGGTGACACACACTGCGGTCGGCCACTGTAGTCCAGCAGAGGCCAGCACTAGCCTAATTAGCGGCGGCCTCAAGATTCCATGGCTTTTATGACACCCTTGAGTACAGAACCGTGCAAAGGGGTCACGTCGTGCAGACGCTTCCTGAAACATGCTTTCTGATGCACAGCAGAATGACAGAAGCTGTTACAGAGCAGAAGCCAGATGGAGGCGATTGTGAGTATTTTGATTGATGGAAGCTGGGGTCATGGCATGACCTCTGTTTTCCATATAAAAGGCATAGCAGGGCAGGCTAGTTGATGCCTGTGTGTGGTAAATGGTACCGGGGCGATCCATGCACAGGTTATGGACTAGAAATTAACTTCCTGAATGCTGGATGATGCATTCAACAAGTTGGGTCATAGTCATGGTCTGGTGGAGGTCCCGACCGACTCTACACCCTACGTGGCGTGTTCTGGCATCTGGCTAAACTGCTCCGAATATGTTTTGGAAAGCACCCAGTGTTCTCTGCGCTTATTCATGTGTTAACCATTTGAAATAATCAGGACTGCCTGTCTCTCCAGTTGCATGTATTTCTGTGAGTGGATTGGAGAGTGCAGGCTCTGCTTTTGCTGACGTTGCTTTGGGGATCAGTGAGCCATTCTCTGGCCCTCTAGGTGCACATTACTCAGGCTTGTACCGAATGGGCCTTAGAGCTGCCTCTTGGAATGGGCTGGGAATTATCGTGAAACAAAGGTCCTGCTTGGCAGTGGCTTTTATGCTTTAATGAAGCTCAGCATTTTACGAGACATCTGTGAATTACGATGAGTCAGTGGTGTGGACGGTCCGTTTTGGAGGCCTCTGAGCGCCTGGCGCTTTTGTGGAATGGGCTGCCGCTGTGTCACGTGTGCCTGTGGCTGCTGAGCTGTGAAGCACTGTCCTCCAGGGGAGTCCTGTGTCACACGAAACTGGCCTGGGCTAAGAAGGTGAATCCCGGTGGAAGGGGCCGTCCCTGCGGCCTGGGCAGCCGGGCAGAGAGCGGCAGGTGGTGCCTCCCTCCAGCTACGGTGACCAGCCCGGGGAGTCACCTGAGCGTTTAAACGAGGATCACCTTAATGAGTGGGGACAGCGAGGACAGCGGCGGGCTGCTCTGATTGGCCCCAGGCCTCGCAGGCCTAATGAGGGAAAGTGGTGTCACAAAATGTGGCTGCTCTAATTTGAGGTGTTATTTGCAAGACAATGGCTTGTTTTTGTTATTGAATGGGAAAGGTGAGGGGACTGGGGAGGGGCGGTGGGACACATTCTTTTTTGTTGCTTTTTTCAATACGCATCTCAGATTTCTTTGTCATAGAAACAATCAGCTTTGCACATCGGTTCCATGTGATCTTTAATTGATTTTCTTTCTCTGGCTGTATGTTCCAGTGGCTTAAAATGAATGAGAAAAACTTTCTGGCCCAACAAAGCTGTCATACAGCTAATGTTTCCTGGCTGTCTTCTTACTGAGAGTCATGTTCACTTTTCTATTGTTCTCTAGGGTTGTAGCAACCAGCATTTCTGGCCGAGCTCTGCTATTCCCGGCCGTTTGAAGGTGTCTGCGGCACTTTGCTAACGTCCCTTTCCCTTCCTTCTGTGTTCCCCGCAGGATCTTCCAGCCCCGATTCTTGATGACATCCCCAGCAATGCAGTGAACATGGGCCAAGTGACGGCATGTGATTCTGAGGATCAGGGCTCTATGAAAATAGCCTGGCGCTACCAGAACCTTCCCAAAGTGCAGGTAAGAAAAGACGAGCAAACAGCTGGCATGTATATGTTTAAAATGCCTGTGACTTATTTTTATTTTATGACTGAAATGTACATTTAAAATGTTCTTTGAGGTGTTATTTGAATGTTTGTGAAACATCAATTTTTAAAATTTGTTATGCAAGAAGTTGTTTGCACATTAACAATGTATCACATAGAGAACTGAGTTGCACCCAAATAATCAGGCGCATTAAAACTTGGAGGCTGTGGTAACCCCAGCAGACAGGACAGAGGGTGAGCAGAGAGAGGGGTTAGGCCTGGGGGGGGTGGGCTGGACATCCTTGGGGGGCTGTGGTAACCCCAGCAGACAGGACAGAGGGTGAGCAGAGAGAGGGGTTAGGCCTGGGGGGGTGGGGCTGGACATCCTTGGGGGGCTGCGGTAACCCCAGCAGACAGGACAGAGGGTGAGCAGAGAGAGGGGTTAGGCCTGGGGGGGTGGGCTGGACATCCTTGGGGGGGCTGTGGTAACCCCAGCCGATCGTTCTGGCCTGTGCTTTCAGGGATAATGACATGTCAGGCCTTGTAATGGGCCACTTTATAAAACTATTACGCATGCTTGAAAGTCCTGGCTCTGTTTTGCTACTTTATCTCACTTCACTGGCCACAATTGGACGGCATATGAGCAGAGTCTGCAGTGCATTGTTGGGCGACACGCCTTTTTCTGTTTCTTGGTTTCCATACTACACTCTGAATGGAGCTGCTCATACTGTTTATCCATGTGCTAAAGTGTGTGTGGAGTGCACTTGTAATTTGTATCAAACCACTGAGCCTTTTGTGAGAGCGTGGAAGCCTGTGATCACAGAACAAAGCTTATTTGCCTTGTTATTTTCATTTCATTCTAGAAATTGTAGTCCTAGTTTGTTACTATCACAAAATACAAAAACATTCAATGCACCATGGGTACCTTGGCCCCTTTTTGAAAAATCCATGTATTAAGTTATGTTTTTTTCTTTAATAAACTTCCCAGAAATCTTGTAAAAGAATAAAAAAAAACATACAGGAGTTTCATTGCATGAAAAGCTGTGAAATAAACCAGTCTTTCTCCTAGGTTACAAATTGGTTAAGGCTTTACCTATACAAAATTAGAAGGTGCAGGTCCTTCTGAATGAGCCATTTGTGTACTCGAGGCAATATATAAACTGTCACAGCATGAAATCAATTTTCTGCTTTGGTTCATCTCAAATCTGAGGTTTCTAGCACATTTAGTATTGCAATTAGAGGCATGAAGGTAGTCGAGAGAGAGCGAGAGAGAGAGAGAGAGAGATGGCCGCCTAAACAGCTCGCCTTTCTTTTCTCCCCAGCCTGCTCCTCTGAGCTGAGGAGGTGACAGGCAAGCTGCCTAATCGTCACTGATAATAAATTTATCAACTCTTAAACTTCTAAGGAATGAATGGGCTTCACCCCGGCCATTCAGCTCGAGCAGATTACTCACGCTTAGTTGGTTCTAGGTAGGCTTTGGCAAGCTTCCCCACCAGGCCTGGGAATTCGCAGTGTGGAGGCCCATTCACAGCCCCCTGACCTGGAGCATGCTTTCACTGCACACTGTTTTATTATGAGTAAATCCCAGTCCCCCCATCCCGGCTTGTCCATGCTATACTCTTTCTTCTGCGTTAAGAAAGGTTATCCCCTACCTTAATCCATATTGCAATGTGGATTAGGGACACCAGTGTGCCCCCAGGATTCCCTCCGAGACCCTTGGAAACGTCTCCCTTCCTGCCCCCACCCCTTGCCATCTTTACAAAGCGCCAATAGGCCTCATGGAGGATTTGCATCCCAAATCAGCAACCCGGAGTTCTGCTCAATGAAGACATCAGATCAAAGTTCAGCCAGTCAAGGCCTCGCTAAAACGTTAAGGAGGCTGGCCTGCACACAATGGAAAGATGCGCTGCGGCCGCTGTTCAATGAGAAGGACACGTCGGGATCCCTTATCCAGATTAAGAGCAGATTATGATGTGGACAATACAGCTATTATATCGCAAGCCTTAAAATAATGTTGATATTACTCTGTGTTCACAAAATGTTTGTTCCATGAAAGGTACTCAAAATATATAACACAATTGTTTTTTTTTGTTCCCAACAATATGACTGAGTGTTTAGTTAAATGTGTAATTCTTTTTTTAATGTGATGTTGCCTCAAAGATTTTAAAAGGTAAAAGTTCAAACATGCTCTGGATTTATATCCTGTTCCATACTTTTGTTAATGTTTCAAAGCTGCCTAATTTAAATGTGATATTTGTGATAACATCTCCTCTTATTGATACTTTACATGCAGTGTCTATTTCGCTGTCTGTCTAAAATGCCATCACGCTTGTGTTGTGCTATAGACGGCCTTGGCTTCCTCGTCGAGGTTTGGCCACTATTACGACGCATCAAAGACGATGGCACGGGAGCTGAGGGAGGCGGTTAAATGCAGCACGTTCTTCCTTCCCCATGAGCTCCCTGCAGAGTCACACGCAGAGCCCAGGTAAGAGTGGCCGTCCACCGGGCCCAGAGCTGGTGAGCCATTGCTATTCACACAGTACTTTCTGAAACTTTTGGGTTGTGTGCATCTCATCCATTTCGGGGGCAACAGAGGACACCTAAAATAACGTAGTGCAATTTCCCATTAATGCATTAGTGAGATGGAAATGGGCAACGTGATTTATTTTACAGCCTGAAATCAACTAATAAGGCACCATAAAAAAAACGCATTATGCACCTTCAGCGCTGAATAATGTCAAAAATTTTAAAACAACAAATTGGCAAGTAAAAGGTTGGGTGAATTTATGCAAATAGAAGCTGTGTTTGCCCAGGGGTTTTACAGTTTGGAGAGTGTTTTGTGATGGAAGGTCATGCTCGCTCTTTACATCAGAAAAGGCTTCTGGCAGCAGAGCAAACACATCAGTCTGCTGTGCTTTGCATGGAAAGAAGAGTTTTATGAAGCGCTCTGTTTTATTTCAGCAAACACAGCCTTTTAACAATTTATACATACAAGCCATTAAGGCGCTACAATGTGCCACGGGCCTGTAAGCATGTGTTTGCTCATGGAGGAAAGCAGGGCCGTGTAGCAGAGCCGGCAGAATGGACTTTTCCATCACCCCTGTCAGACAATGCGTATGTTAGGGACCCTGCTGGTGGCATTATTTATACAGACACAGCCTTCGTGGTCTTGCTGGATTTTCCTGTTAGAATTCAGAGGTATAGTCATGTGATTGTTAGAAAAAAAGAACAGAAAACAATGTGAAATATTGTTCTTGTCCTTAGGATATGATCCTGAAGAAATTGAGATTAATAGTGGGGTTTTTTTTGAGCACTGAACAGTTAGCATTTGCCAGAGCACTTCCAAAGTCAGACAGTTTGTAACATGCTCTTTGAACTTATCAGAGTGACACAAATGACAGCTCGCTGGATAGAAATTAATCCTTTAGCTGTTGTCTCTTACATTCAGAAAATGCCCCATGTTGCTTCTTTGACTATTAAATTGGGCTATTTTATGATATGGTGTAATTGGTATAAATTGCTCTCTGGGTGATATGGATCCTGTTGTTTAAATGGAGCCACTTTCACAATGGCGGCAGTGTCCTGTGGAGCCTTACTGTACCCCAGTGCTTCTCTGGGTATAATCTTAATTAGCTAACACATTCGCTCTCACGGATTATCACCTAGCCCGTGTCATTAGCTATAAGAAATAAGCTCAGTGGGAAGGGCATGATACAATATATTAAAGACAATAGCAACAGTGTGAAATGTGTACTTTTCCCCCGGAAGCTGCAGTAGGAGAAAGGACCAGAAGCCATGTTTTATTCAGGAAGTGTGAGTGCTCTTTAGCACAGTGGGGATACGGGGCACTATTGTTTGTTTGTCAAAATTTAAATTTGCTTTACCTTAACTGGGTCTTTTGAACGCGTGTTTAAATCTCATGCTGCATACTTAAGCCCTTCAGGCTTCCAAAGGTGTGCTCCTGTTTTAAAAGCCCTTGTGGGCCGCATGTGCTTGTGAGTGTGTAAGGTTACATTGAGCAGCTGGTTAAAGATACAGGAGCATTCTCACTGTAAAAACGGACACTGGTGTGGCGGTGTTAGGTAACCTTGAGCTGCTGATTAAAAGTGAGGGAGCTGTCTCGCTGTAAAAGCAGATGCGAGTGGCCGTGTAAGGTAATGTCGAGTGGGTGGTTAAATTGACAGGCTGTCTCTTGCTGTAAAAGCGGAGGCGACTGCGATTGTAAGGTAATGTCGAGTAGGTGGTGCAAAATGACGAGCTGTCTCTCACTGTTAAAGCGGACATGAATGCAGCTGTATCAGGTAACGTTGAGCGGCTGGCTAAAAATAACAGGCTGTCTCTTGCTGTAAAAGCGAACACGTGTGTGGCTGTGTAAGGTTAAAAAAAATGCCGGGAGCTGTCCTCCAGTAAAAGCGGGTGTGGGTGTATCTGTGTAAGGTAAAGTCGAGTGGCTACTGTAAAATGCTGGGACCTGTCTCTCACTGTAAAAGCAGATGATGTAAGGTGATGTCAGGCAGCGGTCAGGTGCTATAAATAGGCACGTGGGATCGTCCAAATGAAGTGGCAGTAAATATGGTGTATTCTGTGCTGAATTTATGTTGTGTGTTTGAGAATCTAGCTTTTAGTGTAACACAGCTTGAACTAGTTTATCAAAGAAAATATATGAAATTTCAGGAAATAAGTTTTAACAAGCTCTCCTAATGACCTTTAATTTGATGGCTTTTTCACACAAACACACTATTTCCTGTGCTTTAGTGTATTCTGGTCTTTACTGTATCTGCCACTTTACTGTGAGACGGAGCTTCATAATATACCAGAAGGTGTTGTTCCTGAAGTTGTTTACATTAGAGGATAACTGAAAATTCACTGGTGGCTCCAATTCATTAAATTTAATTAAAATGCATATCCAATGCCAAAACCCACCAGTCATAGCCATTACTACTGTGTACGTTATTAGAATAATGATGCATGAAAATTGACGCCTGGTCCGCTGAGACTGGGAATCCTTTAAAACCTTTTAAGCACACTTGATGTGGCAGAGGTGGCACTTGTGTGGGGATAAGGTTGGACTGACTGGGGAGGTGGCGTGTGCGTGAGTTTGTGTGTGTGTGTGTGTCTGCGTCTGCGCGTGTGTGTGAGAGAGGAACAAGGAGAGTGGAGGTAATAAACAAGCTCAGGTGAGGCAGCAGGCCTGATTCAGCTCAAGGTTGTTTTTTTGGAGGGGAGGAGGGCTGTTGATCAGGTGTGCCTGACGAGCCCCTTCATTAACAGGGTCTTCATTATCTGCGATTTAACACGGAAGTGCTGTGCTGGTGTCATCTTTTGAAGTTGCTTCATTAAGTGGTTAATTTTCCAAGAGTTAAGTGAGGCCGACGTAATGAAGCCTCGTCGGCTCAGCAGAACAAGCCTCTCTGCGCCGCTGGGGGGTCTCGCTGCCCCCCTTGCAGCCCCCTGGTTCATTTGACTTATATTTGACAATATTTCTCATCACTCTTAAGGGACTTGGGTTTGTGACCTGTGCAGTTAGAATTATCAGGGTGGTAGAGCTATGCCCTGTAATAATGTTGTTTTTATGCTTTTAAAATAAGGTTTTTGTATCATAAACATTTCTTTTAAGTGATACATACCCATTGATGTTTCTCTGCTCTGAAAACCCTTCCATTTTTATTAACACTATAGTATTGCGGTGAGTCCACATCTCAGAATGGACAGAATTCCCCCAAATTAATGACATGTTTTTTTTGTGTGTCTGCAGCCCCATAAGTGAGGCATACAGATTGCTGCTGCGCTCCATCCAAGAGCTGATTCGGCAGGAGGGCTTTGATGGCACCGCCCCGCAGGTAGGTCAACCCGCTCCATTCCGCTCCGCTCCGTACCTCCTTCGTGATCAAGTAGCTAATGTTGTTTTTGTGACCCTCAAAGGATCACCCAGGCCCTGGGGCCTGAACTCATCTACAGTGAACAAGCTGTTTCTAAGCACTTCACAGGTAAACAAGCGGCAGGACTGAGCCCAGCAATATGCTCACTCTCATTAGCCTCATCTCTGGCAGTCCCCGAGTGTCCTGCGGAGCCCCGCCTTTTTCTGTCATGCCTTCCAGTCCCCGAGTATCCCGAGGAGCTCCGCCTCTTTCTGTCATGCCTTCCAGTCCCCGAGTGTCCTGAGGAGCCCCGCCTTTTTCTGTCATGCCTTCCAGTCCCCGAGTATCCCGAGGAGCTCCGCCTCTTTCTGTCATGCCTTCCAGCCCCCGACTGTCCCGAGGAGCTCCGCCTCTTTCTGTCATGCCTTCCAGTCCCCGACTGTCCTGAGGAGCCCCGCCTCTTTCTGTCATGCCTTCCAGTCCCCGAGTGTCCTGAGGAGCCCCGCCTCTTTCTGTCATGCCTTCCAGTCCCCGAGTGTCCCATGGAACCCCGCCTCTTTCTATCATGCCTTCCAGTCCCTGAATGCACCACAGAGCCCTGTCCCCTTCTGTCACCCCTACCAATCACCTGGGTGCACCACCCAGCCCCTATTACTGTCATCCCAGCGAGACCCTGAGTGTGCCTCGGAGTCCCACCCCTCTCTGTCACCCCTATGAGTCCCCGAATGTGCTGTAGAGGCCCCTGGCCCCTTCCTGTCCCCGCTCCATGCTGCCCTAATTGCGCCAGCTGTACCTGAGGCCATGCCCTACATCACTTTATCATTGATTTGTTCACTGTACTGCTCTTTTCTTTTGCTTCCACATCGGGTTTCTCTGTTCCCCTACACATCTCATGCCTCTGTTCCCCTAAGTATCACATGTCTCTCTTCCCCTACACATCAGATGTCTGTCACATCTTTGTTTCCCGACAAATTGCATCTCTGTTCCCCTACAAACCGCATGTCTCTTGTGTCTCTATTCCTCCACACATTGGATGTCTCTCATGTCTCTCTTCCCCTACACATCACATGTCTCTGTTCCTCTACACATTTCATGTTTCACATGCCTTTTAGGCAATGCCTACTACCTCATTTTGCATCTTGAATGCTGTTTTCTTGTGCAGTTTTGTGTTTTGTCCATCACCCTATTAAACAGCTGGGTATTTTCGCACCTTGCCTGGAGACAAAACAGCCATGTCACGGCAGGGATTTGAGAATGCATTTTTCTTCTCAGTGCTGTAGTAGAAGTTTTAAACAGGGAGGGTAGCTGATTTTATCTTGAACAAAGGCATGCTTGTCAGCTACTATTTAGTGTTCATTCTAATCCACGACAGTCTGCTTAGGATGACAAATTTTTGCAAGTATAGGGTGCTGCTGTTATTTTGAAACTAATATTTATGCCACACCGTCTACTGTCAGTGTCCCCCCTCCCCCTTTCACATAGGTAGTCGGAGACTATTTCTGACCAGCCTCTGAGTTATTAATTGCTGCGATAAAGGTTTTAAGATTGCCTGATGTGACTGAGGCTTGTCAGTTTAGGAATAAACAGGGAAATGGTTTGAACTGGGTCTTTAACAGGTATGCTTGGATCACAGAAAGGTTGGCACAACATTTACACGTCCTTTCCCCCTTTTCTTCCAATAGTATAAGTGTGAAAAGGTATTTACTCTAGGTGTCATCGTTGCTTAGCTGACACTTATGGCAGTTTGCAGACGCTGCACCTCTCGGCAGTTTGATTTGTTGACCGGGGCCTGGCCTTTGGGGAGAGTAGCATCCTCTGCAGATTATCTCCTACAGCAGAAACAGCACTGCTCTGGCCCTGGCCAGAGGCTCTGGGGCAGCAGTGCTCAGTTCAGGGGGATCTGTTAGATTAGCATAGGGCTCTGGGATGGCGCCGGGCAGACATGCAGTCCCTGGTGGGGGATGCCCCTTCGGAGGAGTAAATTGGTCCCTTACAGGCACCTCGCTGCCCCCACCCCGCAACTGTCCCCCAGCTCCCAAGCCGCCTCTTCCCCCTTGAGGTCACCATGGCAACAGGCATGTCATAACAGTTCCCACAGTGTCACCGGACCCAGAGAACTCCTCTGTAGCCACACTGACAGCCCCCCCCCCCGCAGAGCAGAGAGAGAGTGAGACAGAAGGCAATGTGCCATCCCAGCTAAACACCACAGAGCTGGAAATGCACAGAAACAATAGGGTTTATTTATCGTAGATGCTGCAGCTTGATTTTCAGTTTTGAGTTTTGTTTGTAAAAACAAACTGAGAAAGGAAAAATTAATGTATTCTTTAGTTTTCTGTACACCATGTTTAAGCTAGTATATCTGGGAATATCTTAAAAGCTTAAAAGCAAAGTTTATGCTGTGTATGATCTCTTTCATCATCATGTTCTGATCGATGGGGAGATCTTTTGGTGGAATGAGATTTAATTTTGGATGTGAGAATACATCAAAATAGTTCTTCCTGTCCACCTAACTATTTCTGTTCATGCTTTGGCCTCTTTTAGCCTCAAATTTCCCCTGAAATAATGTCAGCTGGGCCTTCATAATAAAGCAAAGTGGAGCGTTATAAACCCCTATTGAGGATCCTGTCTTAAAGTTGGGAAGAGCAGTATGGAAATGCTAGGCCTGATATGTTGTTACCCCATCACTGAAGCTTAAACAATGCATTGTTCCTGAAGTCGAGACAGGCTTAAATCAGACCATATTGATAATTTCATGAAGCAGAAAAGAGTCCGAACTGAATGTGCTCAGGTATCGATCTTCTCTGTGGCCAGCACTGTAAACTGTAAAACCCAGAAGACCATCTTGTCCTGGAGAGATCTCCACTTGGCACTTCTCTGCTCTTTTTTTTTTTTTTTTTTGGGTCGTCTTTGGCTCTCATTAAGACGCAATCGGCCGCCTTGCCCTGTTGATGTGCCAAAAATGCGACTCGCTTTTGTAAGTCGTCAGACATTTTGAAAGCCAGTCTAGACAGCTTCTCACAGTCTCATTGTGGCCCAGTCCAGTGGCTCCGTGGTGGAACTATTGTTTGATGTGAGATGTAGCTGCAGATATGCACGAGCAAATTGAAAGAGTTGTGCCGTCATATTTCTGTAGAAAACGACTCAGATGCATGGCACTTGACACTGTAAGAACGTATTTACGAGAAAAAGTAGCCTGAGGCTAAAGATCTAACTGACCTGTAAACAGCATCACAGTTCAGCTGCACATGGTGACTGATGGGCTTCTTCTAAGCAGAAGTCTAGGAACATTCTGAGGATTGGCCTGCACTCCCTGGGCTCTCCTCTTTGGGCTGATGATATCTGCTGTGAGGAGAAGCCTACCCAGGCTTCGAGCCTCACCAGCTTCCTGTACGGCCTTCGTGCCCTGCTGCGCTCGTCACTCTGCACCTGCATGGTCACCGTGCCCTCCCACCTCATCCAGGTAAGCCTCACACAGACCGCACTGTCACTTCTTGTTCGGTATGTGCACCTAGCAAAATTGGGCACGTCTGCTAAAAATACGACCGCGGAAAACCACATAATCTTTTTAAGTTGTTTCTGTGAAGATTATCTTAACCCGTAGGTAATAATATACCAGTGGTTTTTATTGTAATCATAATAAAATTCTGTCTGAACATGAAGGTGTTTCTTGTTTATCCAAAATCTCATTCTGTCTGTAAAATAGAAAGCACCTTATTTCGACTGTCTTTAGATTAACACACGAATGTCAACTGCAGCCTTTTCATGTCAGCCAGCTTCTAATGACTCTGATTACCAGTTGACCTTGTTTCCCAGCAGCCAATAGGAGAGCTCTAAGGGTTTAAAAATGAGTGATGAGCGAAAAAAGTGGGATGGGGTGAGATGGGGGGCGCCAAGCGGGGTGGAGGAAGGGCTGGAGCCACTGTCCTGTCAGATTCCCCCTTTGCTGCCAAAACATCGTCTTTTTACCCCCCCCCCCCATCCTGTTTAAAAAAAATTATAAGGAAAAAAGGTTAAAGTTGAAGCGGGCCCAGGGCAGGGAGGAGTGGCAAGTGAGCTGTCATTAGGGGGAGCCGTGACCCTCTTTTCCCAGGGCCCCCGCTGTGCAGTTGTTAAGGAGCCCCCCCGAGCCCACGCAAAGCCCTCCATGTTAATAGTTAATTGGAGAGGATGGCAGGATGGGAGGATGAGTCGGGCCTGTGGGCCCAGAGGATGGACCCGGATACCTAACGACACCAGCTGTTCACATTGTTAAACAGCTCTCTTGTTTTTCTGTCACTGCAGTGTGCAGGTCCAGAGAGCTGAGGGGGCAGTGTTGCTGCCCGCTCGCAGTGCTCGGCCGCTTTGCTCTGCCAGCTTTGCACAGCTTCATGTTTTGTCCTGTAGTGAGTGAGTGTGATGTTTTCAGTGCATGCTGTACATCACATGTGTCATAGATCTCAAAAGTGCTGCATGTCCTCGTCATGAATGCAGCAGCAGCAAGGTCTTCTGAAGTGAGGAGAGGCAAAGGTGCATGTGTGTGTGTGTGGATTAGGTTTATATTACCTTACCAAATGCCCCCATCAATGTAATAAAACCAATTTTTCAGACCCCCACAAAGATCTGTGAATGCAATCAAAAATAAATAAAAATGCCAAAAGTTTCATATTCTGTTTGGTTAATTGTGGTTAAGGTAGGGGTTAAGATCATCATGTTGTGTTTTACCCATTGAAATGCATGGAGAAGTCCCCACAAAGATATAATTACAAACCTGTGTGTGTGTGTTTCCGTGCATACATGTCTGTTTGTCTGTGTGTCTGTCAGCATGTGTGTGTCTGTGTGGGCTTCCCTGTTCTTTGGTGTTTCCCTCTGGGAAATTCACTAATGAAAAGTCACTAAGAATAAACCTTATTTAGTCTCTCTCATGAGGGCTAATGTGTTTCCATTCAATGTGTTATTCTCCATATTCCATTTGGTATCTTTAAATATTAATCTCCTACAATATTAATGTGGTGATGTTTTCCCTGGATGACAAAAAAACAGTGAAAGTTCAGATGTACTGGGAAGAATGCAGATCTGTTGTTAATGTGCATACATTTAGGAGCAGTGCAGTGATCCAGTGATTTGATCCCTGTGGCACAGCTTAGGGACACTGTGGAGAGCCAGTGGTCTGATCCCATTGGCATGGCTTAGTGACAGTGCCATGATCCTGTGGTCTGATTCTTGCAGCACGGCTTAGTGACAGCGCAGTGATCTGGTGATCCAGTCACTGCAGCACAGCTTGCTGACAGTGCAGTGATCCAGTTGTCTGATCCCTGCAGCACAGCTTACTGACAGTGCAGTGATCTGGTGGTCCAGTCCCTGCGGCACGTTGTGACTTGCCAACTAATGTCAGGGTTGGCTTCAGGGGGCAGTCCAGTCTCATACGGGGACCAGCCAGAGGACATAAGCACTCTAAGGCCCTGCCTGTTCATCATGGCTGTTGAAGGCCTTGCTCATGCATGTTATGTCTCTTCTTATGCCAGTTTTGTATGTTTTGACTCAGTGTCGTGTTGCAGTTCACCATGTAGAGGTATCTCTTTAGGAATCGTTCACTTGATTCATTGTCTCTGCTGTTAGTTACATTTGCAAATCTCACAGTGGCTGTTAAAACAGGTGAAGTTAAGTAAAGAAGGATCTTTCTGAGATATGAGACCTGAAGCTGGACTGAATGCGGATAACACTCTGCAAATCGTCGAGCTGACGCCTTGTCTAAAAAGAGTCATATGGGGGATGTGAGTTGTGTGTGCATGTGTCTTTGTATCTGCATGTGTCTTCCTCTGTGTGTGTGTGTGTAGCTGTCTGTATGTATATATGTGTGTGTACTATATGTGTGTGTATGTACTGCGCATGCCCATCTGTCTGTGTGTACGTGTGTCTGTACTGCCTGCACCTGTTTGTGTGTCTGTATACGTGTGAGTGAGTGTGTGTGTACTGTGCATATTTATATGTGTGTGTATACGTGAGTGTATATGTGTGTCTGTATACTTGCGTGTATTCATGTTCGTATATGTATGTATACTCAGTGTGTGTGTGTGTACTGTGTGTATCTGTGAGTACTGCATATGCCTATGTGTGTGTATACTGTGTGTGTGCGTGTGTGTGTGTGCGTACTGTACGTCTGTGTGCGCGCCGACGGCTCCCCGGGCATCTCCAGTCTTGTCCTATATGGGGGTCATAATGTGGAGATGGAGGCATCTGCTGAGGCATATGGAGGCTTGGCTGCTGCAGCCGACAGAGAGCTAGGGCCGGCCCAGTGTTCAAACACAGCCACAACTGCTCCGTAAGCAGAAGGGAGGGAACCCCTGTACGCAGCCCCCTCGGGGAGCAGTCCTGACGCCCCTCCCAACAGATGCACATGGGGGCCTCAGCCCCGTAACGCTCGCTAAATCGATAAGCCCTTGTAATTAGCGAAATCCGAGCCCTAATCTGATCACCGAGGGGAAGCACCCGTGTATCGGAATACCGCTGGCTGTGTCCCTGGCAGCCTCTCCGGCCTTCAATCGCAAAATGAATGAAATGTTTCTGTGCTGCAAATGAATGAATACTGATGCATAGTTAATACTGTTTTGGTTAATTTTTGCACCTCATTTCGACTGGCACTTAATTTCAGATATAAACAGAATCATGAGCTTTGTGGACCTACTCTACTGTTAATATGAAGTTTTCAGCGGTTATTAAATGTAGAGGAAGCCCAGCTATGTCCACTGTAAAGAGAAATAATGAAAAGTAAAAAGCTCAGTGGCACTAATGCAGCCCCAAATTCATTTTTAATCAGCCCAGTAAACTGGAAGCTTCCTCTGACTCGCCCGTGCCGCAGCCGACCTCCTGGTTTAATAATAGCCGGCAATGCTTCTCCTCCTCGAGCAGGGAGCGGTCCGGGGGGGACCTGGGAACGGCGACCAAATGGCAGCCAACGTGTCCTAGGCTGGACCCTTCTGGAAGGGCTGGAGCGGGAGCCTGTCGGCAGCCAGGTTTCAGATGGGAACAGTGGGGGAAAGGAGCTCCTCCACCCTGCTCTGGGAGCTGGTGGGCGGCCAAGAGCCCGGTCACAAAGGGCTGGGACAGAAGGCAGCGATGCCGCCGACTTACTCAGGCGGCCCCGCTAGTCGCCATTTAGGCAGCGCTTTGTATGGCTTACGGCTTTAGCCAGTCTATTCGCCATCGAGTGTCTGAGCTCACGCCGTAGTGGCCACAAGTGTGCTACAGGTTAAATGAACCAAATGTATTGCCAGTTATTTAATTGTGGCTTAATAAATACATCACGTCAAAACAAAAAAATAAAGCATAACCCTTTTATTGTCTGTGAGTATGAATCAAAATGAACCAAAATGGCATGCTTACTACCTGTAAGGTTTGTGTCGATTATTCCAGGCCTGGTTGAGTGCAGGGTGGCTGGGTTTGTCACTGTGATGTCTGCAGTCTCCTGCACAGCGGCTCGCTGTAATGAGACGACGTCGCAAGTGTGTTTTAAAGTAGGACAAAAAAGATTTTGTTATTAAAATTGCATTAGGCCTGGGCTGCTAGTAAGGAGATGGGAAGTATGTAAAATATTGAAGAGGAGACTTATGAATAATAAAGGTTTCTCGGCCTCGGTGCTAGTGACAGAGCATCGGACGACCTGACCAGCAGAGGGAGCACTCTCCTGCCTTCCTCTCTGGCTCGCTCGGTCCCGGCACCATCCCACCTGCCCGTGTCCTTTCCTGGCCAGACCTCCATCTGGAGCCGGGTCTGGCTGTCTGCTTGCCCTGTCAGCCTGTCATCTCCGATGGAGCACAGGATTAGCTTAAGCAGATTTAAATCTTCAGGAGCGCAAACAGCTGACTGCTCCCTTCAAGTGTCGTTTATACCACTATTTTGAATGGGATCAGACCTCAACTTGCTCTGAAATCCCACCCCCACGGTCTGACACAGGCCACGCACACATATGCTCACACACCCAGAGCAGTGACTCATAAAGGCACGTTTTATTGTATATTTCCATGGTTTGCACTGTGTGTACAGTGTTTTTGAGGTCTGCCTTTGCACTCCCTGTATGTGCATGGAAGCATCATTAATAAAACATTCAAATTTATCAGGGTATCCATGCAGCATTTAAAGTGACGTGTGTTAAAGCAGCGGACATTCCGGTTTTGGGGCTTTGGTTTGCTTCTTTAATGACTGATCATGAGCAACATTGTACTTGAGGGGAAATGACAGCCTGGGATCTTCTCATGACCATCTAGCAGTCAATTAGACACAGTCAGCGGGGTCAGCACCAGGTGGGGGGCTGGCGCAGAGAGAGATGTCTGTGATGGGGGAGGGTGGGGGGTGTGAGCGCAGAGAGAGATGTCTGTGATGGGGGAGGGTGGGGGGTATGAGCACAGAGACAGATGCCTGTGATGGGTGGGGGGTGTGAGCACAGAGACAGATGCCTGTGATGGGTGGTGGGGAACATGAGCACAGAGACAGATGCCTGTGATGGGTGGGGTTCGCCATGTGAACTGTGGGCCATGTCTGTGATGGGAGCCGCCCCCCCCCCCAGGTTAGCAGCGTGTGGGCCTGCCTCACAAGCCCTGTCCCCAGGTTCTCCCAGTGTCACCCCACCGCTGAGACCGAGAGCCTGGGGAGCGGCCTGCATCCATGCGTGTGTGAATTGTGTGATTTTCCGAGTTTTAATTGAGGCCACGGCTCTGGCAAAACGCACACGCAGCATGCAGACAGCTGACATGGATATAAGTCTCTTCTGTACACCTTGCTGATGCCGCTCATGGATCAGTGAAGCTGAGTGTGTGTTTGTCATGCCCCCCCCCCAATGCTAAGATAATGATGACCTAATTTAATTTTATTGCTGACGGCCTACTGACAGCTCTTTAGGAGGGCTTTAATTACCTGTGTGCTACTTCAGTCTGCCTCTCCCTTTCTGTGTTTTACAGAACAGAGCAATTATGGACCGTGTAACCAGGCTGTGTGATACGGCCATTGCTCTTGAATCATTCAGAGGTTCTGAGAGAGAGACCAACCCTCTCTACAAGGATTATCACGGTAGGAGACCCTGCTCTCCCCACACACATACAGGCAGAAATACGCTGGCAGGTGCTCGTTCATGAGGAAGGTGACGGGCGCATTCATTTTACTGTCAGAATTTCAGGATGATGTGTACAAAGTCGTGCACACACACACAAACAGGCCCTGCTGTCAGACACCCTCCACACTGACCTGAAGCTGCAGTGGCCTCTGATTTCTGTTTTATCTGTAAATCTGTGTTTCTGTGCCGGCCCCGAAAGCCCCCCCTCTGCCGCTCCAGCCTCTTTCCCACCCCCACTCTTCCTCGTTTCAGCCATTCAGAAGTGGACAGAGCTCCTCTCCCATACAAAAAGTGCATTAGTGCTGAGGAGAAAACACGCCAGCTTCTGACATGTTGTCAGGGCTGCTTAGCGTGACGCTGCTCAATCAGACGTGCTGCCCGGCGGCAGGGCACCGCGTGAGCTGGGGCTGCTTCGGGGCCGGGCCGGGACGGGCGCTGCACGGTCGATACCTGAACCGGGCTCAACTTCACAGCTCCGTGTTGCCGAAATCTCGCAATAAAAAGACATTAAAATGTAACACGCGGTGGAGACGTGCCCAGTGGCCTGTGTCTCTGTGCTGCTGCTCGTAACGGCCACTTCAAGCAGGAGGGATAATTTTAGCATAATGTCCCCCCCCCCACGCACGCACACACACTTGATTTTTGTTTTATTTATTTATTATTTGTTTGTTTTGTTTTTTTTTTTTTTGCTGCACAGTGTGGAAGGCTGGGCGGTATAGTGTGGAAAGAACAGGCAGTTAGCTTTTATCATACTGCATAAACACGACTCCTTGTCTTGCAGTTTTTTCTTTTAGTTTAAAGTTTACTAAAGTTGAATGAAGTTCAAATTCAGTAATTTGAAAAATAAAATACTAGTGGAATGCAAATAAAAATAAACTAAAATGGGCTGTTTGAGATGAGCGCTTTCATTCTCACTAATATTAGCAAATGTTAACCTTTTGTATTATATTAAATTGCATTTTTTGTCTAAAATCATTTTTATAGATGTATTATTTTTATATATTCATATTTTAATAGATTTACAATATGCTGTTAGTGTTTTTACAAACAAAAAACAATCCTAAAACAAGCCATTTAGACAGAGATGGTGTCCAGTTCTGAGTAAATGCAGGAGCTCCGGCAGTCGCTTATGTAACTGTCCTTCTGCGAGCTGTCTGTGCTGCCCTGCTTTTCTCAGGGGCTTTTTTCTGTAAGCCGCAGCTCAGGGCTCCATGGAACATGTTGGGCTCCCTGTCACAGGCATTCGGGCCCAGATGAAACAGTGCAGCACACAGACCTGGCCAAACACTCTAGTAATCTAGGGCAGTCATTGGCTGGCCCCTTTTAAAAAGGCTGCATCATGCCCCTCTCCCCCTCCTCCTGCCTCTTCCCCCCTCTCCTGCCCCTTCCCTTGCTCTTTCTTCTATTTCCTCTTCCCCTACTTCTGCCTCTCCTCCTCTCCTGCCTCTCCTTCTACTACTCCTTCTCCCCCCTTTTCTCTTCTGCCCCTTCCTCCTCTCTTGCATCTCCCCCCCCTTATCCTCTCCCCCTTTTTCCCCTTTTTGCCCTCTTCTGCCTCTTCCCCCACTACCCCTTATTCCAACCTTTTCCCCACTCCTGCCCTTTCCTCCTCTCTTGCCTCTCCCCCTTTTTCCCCTTTTCTGACACTCTTCTTCTGCCCCTTCCCTCTCTCCTGCCCTTTCCTCCTCGCTTGCCTCTCCCCCATTTTCCCCTCTTCTGCCTCTCCCTATCTTTTGTCCCTTCCCCCTTTCTTGCCTTATTCCCGTCTCCCACCTCTCTCACGCTTCTGCTTCTTCCCCCTTTCCCCCCTCTCCTGCCTCTCCCCTCTATCCCCTTTTCCTGCCTCTCCCCTCTATCCCCTTTTCCTGCCTCTCCCTTTCTCCTGCCCCTTCTTCCTTTCCTGCCTCTTCTACCTCTCCCTTTTTCCCCTCTTCTGCCCCTCCAATCCTGCTCTTTCCCACCTCTCCTACTCCTTTCCTTTCTTCTGCTATATTCTGCCTCACATTTGCAAAGGGGTGGCAGTGGAATGCAGAGCCTTGAAGTTTGTGTGGTTGAGCCCCTATGAGATGGGTGCCCCCCCCCCCCCAATCCACACTGTGTTTTGGTCTCTGCCCACTGGTGCAACTAATAAAATAAACCAGAGGCCAGCAAAACAGTGGGCAGCGTGCGAGGTGACAGCCGAATTCGCGTACCGTGTGCCTCAGGGGAGGGGGGGAGTAATGACCAGCACCGGGAGCACTCCCTCCCCCCCCCCCCGAATTGTTGTTTATCTTGTTCTGCTTCATTACATGAGCATAATCGCGACATTTTCTTCATTTCTTCAAGTGTTGAACTCGCTGTGTGGGGTGGAATGGGGGGGAGCTGGCGCAGGGACGGCCACGGACTTTGGAAATTTTTGCTGAGTCCCCGCAAGTCAAGTTTACTCATCTGGGTTTCCAGTGGCACTGAGTCGTCCCTAATTTCCCTTTTGTCTTCACAAGGTCTCCTGCACGTGAAGCAGACACCTCATCTCAACTGCCTGGTGTGTGAAGCCCCTGACACAAAGGATCTGGCTTTTAAGCTGAAGAGGAAGCAGTTCTCCATAGAGGTGGGCCGCCTGTCTGTTTGTGCAGCCGAGCAAAAACGGTGTCAAGGGTATTCACGCGCTCACATGCACAGGCGCGCGTTTTGTCGAAACCATGGGATACCTCCGGTGTACTCGCTATTTTATTATTTTGGGATGTGTACTGCTGATTTCCATTGACAGATGATATGATGCAGAGCATTTGTCACAAACTGTGGCCTCTAAGCGATTTTTGGAGGGAAAGTGAAGTAAATCAGGATGATCGCAGAACAGCCATTAAATGCTAATCTATATGTATTGAATTTTGGATTCATTATACTTCGAAAAAATGTACATGCAAACATATGGATTGATCATTCTCTGTTATTGGCTTCAAATTAAAAGGGGAGAGTATTGATTAAATGTTGAAATAAGTTTATTTTTTCAGAGTGCAGTGTGAAAGTGTTGGTATTTCAGCATAATTAAAACCAAAGGGAAGTAACATTTAGTTATATGGGAATATTATGTGTTTCCCTTATTTATTGTGTTTATGATTTACAAAATGCACATAAACATCAATGCATAGAATCTAAATATGAATATAAATGATCATGTTGTGAATATGAAAACTGCTTAATGAAGGTTAAGCCAGCAAGTGCACATTCTTATATACTTCAAGCTGTTTGTGTTCAGTGCTTGTTGGGTCATTGTGTTTATGGCAATTCAATTATTTCGTTTATAGCATTAAGGGCTTTGAGCAGTATCTAAGGTCATGTGGGTTCTTGTTGATGATGTCATCAGAGCAGCACTCTTCTTCCATACCTCTCCTGATGGTGGATCCTCTCTGCCGTTTCCCGTGTTCACTGGGTTGATGATGTCATGTGCAATTGTGGCTCCTCTTCCCATGCTCCTGATTGATGATGTCATGCACATTCGTGGCTCCTCTTCCCATGCTCCCGATTAATGATGTCACTGGCATTCGTGGCTCCTCTTCCCATGTTCCTCATTGATATCACTCGCACTCCTGGTTCTTCCTCCATTGTTCCCAATTGATGATGTCATGCGCGCTTGTGACTCCTCTTCCTGTGTTCCCAATTGATGCTCATGGTTCGCTTTGAGTTTGTGGTTGCCGTGGAGGTCCCGACACCCCCCCTCTGGGTACATGGGGGGTTTGTATCAGGACTGATCCTCACTGCGCTATGCCCATGGTTTGAGATGATCCACGAGCCTCACCAAACCTATCCCCTATCCTGGGAGGGTGGGTCTGGTCCTGCCTGACCCGCTGGCCTTTGTAACTAACCACTTGATTATGCAACCTACAGGTCCCCCCCCACCCCCACTGGAGTGTTCAGAATTTTTTCGCCCTCTGCCCCAGAACAATAAATCAACTAGAATCCCGTCCTGTGACAAATCACAGAGCCTCCCCCAGTTAGCAGGCATTACGGCCCCCGGGCCCTCGCCGTGTCACGCGGAGCCTGTTAATAGTTAATCGCAGGGCTCATTGTTTCCGGCAGGTCATCCTCTGTGCTGAGTGCAGTCGCTTCTTCTATCCCAGCCCTCACCTCTTAATAGCCACTTAACAGCAGATTTATAAGGCCCATAAAACCAAGGTGCTTAGTCGCAATGCTCTTTTAATTACTGCTTGCAAAAGCGCGCTGAAGTTGAAAGTGATTCGGCTCCTCATTGTCGGCCTTTAAGGCTGTGTTATATTGCAGTAGCACATTGCCATAGGTTTTGTCTCAGGTTTTTTTCCCCTTTTTGTGGTGGGTTTGAGCCATTATGGAGTGAGACAGTCATTTAGCTGAAAGGGATGAAAGGGGGACTTGCGGCCCTTGAAAGGTGCATTCGGAGTCCTATGCCGCGGACTTCCGGGCCTCCGCCTGTCGAGTGGCGGTGAAGGCCGAGGGCCGCTCTTCCCTGATTAAAACATTGTACCACTTTCCTTAAGTACGTTGAATAGATCTAACACTGGTTTCGGTAGGTGCTAGTTTTGCGTTTGCTGTGTACTCAACACCGTCCTTCTTGAGGAACCCCAATAAGCAGGCCGACATGCAAACTAATCTAAGTGTACACTTTCAGAAGCGTGACATTTTTTTTCATCTGTTCGTTGATATTGAAGCTTGAAATTACATGACAGCAGTTTGAGTAATCTTAAGGGTTACCTTCATGCTACAACCAAATCAGTGTTTCTTTATTCTCCGGACAGTTTTCCGCGTAGAGCTTTATAAAAGGAAAAATCCATAAACAAAAAAAGTCTGTCTAATCCAATTTTGTTTAAAGAGAGGCATGTTAATTAGAGATTTAAAAAGAGCCATTTGACTAAATTATTGTCTTGAATCCTCAGAAAGACGGTATAATCCTCAATTGGGCCAATTAGCAGGGGCTGTATTTGGCTATATTGAGACAAGCACCCTGATTAGAGTTGACACCAGTCTAGTTCCCACTGCTGCAGCGGCAGGTATGATGGTCTGACTTCAAAGGCCTAGAGGTATCAGCAGGGCTGCTAATCTCCTGCTAAAGCAGCAGTGGGTCTTGTACAAAACCAGCTCGAACCACACAGTCATGTGCTGTAACGGTTTAGTTCTGGTCATGCTGATTGTCTTTGATTTTCCGACTGTTCATTAAAAGACTAAGTGAGGTACTCAGTAATATATAAATTTCTCTTGTGTTGTATTTTGCTTTTTCTCTTGGTCTAAGTTGCCTCCCACTGGAACTTGTGTTAAAAATGATGTATTGCTTCCTGGGGCAGAGGGGGGTTACATGTTGTTGTGCCATGTCAGTGCCACGTGAGGAAGGACACACACCCGTAGCTGAAGTGAAGACTGGTTCATGGCGAGTGAGCCAGCACCAGGTCATTGCTGTATGGGGGGGGGGGACACACGGCCGTAGCTCAGCTGCGGACCGGCCCATGGTACGGGGGGGGAGAAAAAAATCGATTGTTAGATGCATTGGGATGCAGACAATTCTGAATCGATTTACCAATGCCAAGAATCGATTTTCTAAATGTTAATTAATAACGTAATGTTGACAGAAGGCGGAACTCGGAAGTACGGAAGTGCAGCGCCTGGTCAGCACCCTTGCACATAACTGAGACAGAAGATGGCTGTGCGAGAAATCCCACCGGCACCCTCTGCATTAAAAGCTAGTGTCAGGGAGCACTTTGACTTCTGTGAAGGTGAAGGGGAAAAGGACCTGGACAAGAGCCACACTGTATGCCAGTTGTGTCAAACTAAACTAAAATATTTTGGAAACGCGTGAAACATAAGAAACCGTATTATGCGTTTCCACCCAGAGGAGGAAGAAAAACACCCAGTTGTGGTTGCTGCCAAATGGAAGACCATGGAGAAGGTGCTGTCAAAGCTTCCACCCAGCTCAGAAAGGGCGAAGCAAATTACAAACTCTCTCGCAAGTTTTATAGCCGAAGATTTGCGTCTGTATTCAGTCATTGAGAACCAGGGCTTTTGCACTATGTTGTGCACTTAGGAGTCAAGAGGCAACATCACATCTGGAAGATTTTATCACTGATGAGTGGCTGAAGTCGCCTTTACGTCCACAAGCATTATTTTTGTATGAAAGTATTTGTTTACTACAAGTATATGCTGCTACAGGCACACATTTTTTTAATTTTTTTTTGCAGTGCTGAGTTATATGCTGGCTAATGTAACCTTCCAGTTGACTTGCCACATCTCTTTCCTCTGTTTTATCAATAAAAGATATTGGAAATAAATTCATTATGGATCATTACAAATACTTTCCTTTGAAAGTTCCAAGTGAGGAAAAAAGAAATCCTGGATAGAAGAAAATATGCATCAAGAAGCATCAATAATCATTTTATCATTGCATCGAATTGAACTGTGAGGTTCCTAGAGAGTCGCAACCCTAGTGAATGGGCCAGCGCCAGGTTAGTTACACTGAATTCTATGGCAGGTTGCTTTTGTCTTTTAAAAGGTGTATAAATACGAGATGTCAGAGTCCCTTCAGCCATTGGCAAAAGGGGGATTTTCCATGAAGAAGAAGAAAAAAAAAAGTTGGTCCACTCCCAACATGATTACATAAGGCCTATCCTCTGGCGCTGCTGTGATTGGCCAGCACTGTGCAGCAAACTGTCATGCTACCATCCCCAGAACAGCCTGCGGCTCGCAGAGTTTCACTCCAAATGATGGAAGCTGCCATCTTGCTGACTTTCCCTTGGGCACCTGGGAAGGCCTGCTTACTCTGCGTGTTTCAGCCATGTTTCTACTGGCTCAGTCCTCTGACAAGGGCGGAGATCAGATCCACTGACGATCATTTGGCACGTGAATGCTTACTCCCCCTCCCTCTGAAGATGAGGCCTGGGGAGCTTTCAGCTTGTGGCAACTAAGTGATAATCGCAATTCTATCCGTAGCAAGACAAGCCCTCTGACATGAGACTGACAGCCTCACCTCAGAGTGGTGCTTTGTGGCAACAACGGGTATTTGCATTGTGGAGCTATTCTGAATGACAATAAAGGAATATAAGGCGCTTTCCCACTGGAACCCTATCAAGAACCAGTAACTTCTCTTGCGTTCACACTGCAGGAATTTTTAGTTCCTTGGAGGCAGTTCCTGAACCTTTTTTGTAGTCCCTACTCCAGAGAAGTTACTTTTCGCTTGACCAAGAATTACTGGGTGGGCCTAATAGTGATAAACGTTGTTCATTGGTTGACCACCGGCGCTAACTTATGCGGAGATGCAAGGAAATAAAAGGGAATAAAAGTACCGGAGCAAAAATTTGAGCCGATGGAATTATTTTTGTAACGGAATTACATTGTTTTCATGAATACATTTTTTTGCTTGTGTCTCCATGTTTCTGCACTGTAAAATTCAATCGACAGTTGACATACTTCTGTCTAATATTGCCAGTGCCGGTGGTGAAACCTGCCAGTGCCTATTAGTAGAATAATGTTACATGGTTCTGTTATTCTGTGGGAAACAAACGTTCGATCTTCTGGCCAGATTTAATAATAAATTATAAATGTAGAGTATATAAATAAAATGTCCCCTATTTTTGGACTGCACAATCGATC